ATAAACCATCGGCTAGGATAAAAATTAATGGAGACCTATCTGACCCCTTTGTTTTAGAAAGGGGTACGAGGCAGGGATGCTGCGTTTCGCCGCTTCTCTTCGCCCTCTTCATAGAGCCGTTAAGTCAATGGATAAGACAGAGAACAGACATAGCTGGGGTTCGCATGGCATCTGGGGAACAGAAGCTTTCATTGTTTGCAGACGATTTGTTGCTAACCATTACAAATCCATCTCAAACTCTACCTGTACTTATGGGAGCAGTCGAGGAATATGGCTTGCTCTCGGGTTACAAGATAAATGTTACCAAGACTCAGGCTCTAACAATAAATTATAACCCACAGAACAATATTAGAAAACTGTACAGTTGGAACTGGGAGGCAGATTCCATAAAATATTTAGGGGTCACATTGCCCAAGGACTTTTCTAAGATTTTTGATGTCAACTATGGGCCCCTAATCTCAAACCTGAAGTCAGACATACAGAGATGGAACCTGACCCCTTTCTCAAATCTATACTCCAGAGTGGAATCGGTCAGAATGAACATTCTCCCACGCTTCCTTTATCTATTTCAATGTTTACCTATCCTGATATCAGAAAGACGTTTTATAGAATGGGAAAGAATGATATCTCAGTATATTTGGCAGGGAAAAAAGGCAAGGGTGAGGTATAGGACACTGCAATTAAAGAAAGAGAAAGGTGGACTGGGTCTTCCCAATTTGCAAGTTTATTACCTTGCAGCTCAGTTAAGACCAGTGTTCTGTCTATGCTCTCCATCATACGATGCAAGGTGGAAAGATATGGAAGGTAGAACAGTGGAGGGAATACCCCTAATTTCAGTATTAATGGATACGGAATTACAAGATGGGCTGAATATACCACAAGGTTCAATGTTACACACAATGCTGGATTCCTGGAGAAAGGTGATTCAAATCTGTAAATTGGGCAACCAGATAAAAATACTCAGATGGTGTGCCTTTGACTCTGCTTTTAAACCGAATAAGATGGATGGGAGATTTAGAGGATGGATCCAAAAAGGAATAACCACCTACTATACATTTACCAAAAAGGGGGTATTTCAGAGTTTTGAGGAGCTTCAGAGATCTAATGGGTTAGAGAGGGACGACTTCTTCAGATATTTACAAGTGAGGGCCTATTTCAATCAAAACATACGTAATGATTGGGAAACAGCCAAATCAAAATTGGTTGATGTGTTTTTGTCTTTGTTGAAGTCAGGTTCATGCAAGAAACTTGTTTCCATACTTTACAATGCTATTCTATCTTCTAAACAAGGCGATACGAATTATATAAGGAACAGGTGGGAAAAAGAAGGAAACGTAACTATCTCAACTGAAGTCTGGGAACAGATTAATAAACTACACTGGATGACTTCAAGCTCCAACACATGGAGACTGTTCTGTTGGAAAAACTCTGTTCGATATTTTGTAACTCCAGCTCAGAAAAAACATCATGGCAGCGGAGACGCCTGTTGGAGACTCTGTGGAAAAAACGGAGCAAATCACCACCACATCTTTTGGGGATGGTCCGGTGATTAAAGATTTTTGGGAGCAAACGTGTTCCCACATAAACAACATCTTCACTAAAAATCTCCCGTGTAAATGTGAAATTCTGTACTTAGGAAACATTCCATCTGACAACTGGACTCTGGAAGATAAAAAACTGCTGTTAATGCTGCTGGCTGCAAGTAAAAAGACAATCACCAGAAAATGGTTCAAACCTCAAGCACCTACAGTAGAGGACTGGTTTGGCATAGTGCAGGACATTTACATGCTGGAGAAGCTAACTTTCTCTGTCCAAGGACGTAGGGAATCTTTTTTCAGGATTTGGTCTAAGTGGACAAACTATATAAAACCAGTAATCCCTGTGATCTAAACTTGTCTTATCACATGCAAATACTGTTGTGCTGTGTACTGTTCCCTTTTGGCAGGCTTATGTCCTGAATTGTGCTTTTCCCCAAAAATAAGGAAAATTTGAATTAGACCTCATGTTCCCACCCGCTCGTTTTTTTTTTTTTTTTTTTTTAAGTTATAGATGTTTGGTTATTATACAAAAACTCCGGATCGGCTTATGTTATTCTTTCCCATATTTCCACTGTGGTGGAAGTTTGAATGTACAAAGTAATTGTAACCTGCCTTTCCAAATAAAAACTTCAATAAAAAAAAAAAAAAAAAATTATATCTGTGCTGAAATTTTATTTACTTAACTTGTTCAAGAAACACACAGCCAGGAAGACGAGCTCCGAGCAAGCTCCCATGTGAGAGGATGAAGGAGAGCTTATAAAGGTAGTCACATTCAGAGAAACAGGACTATGCTGGAAAACAGGCCGATCTCCAGCATCTATAATCAAAGGTGTTGATGGCAGCAGCACAGCTGATATTTCTCTCCAGGATGGAGTCACAGCCAAACAGGAACAGACCAGATGAAGCTACGGTTCTATGAGAAAAAGCAGAGAGAGCAGAACGTTAGAGATTGAACTAACAGATTCTGCAGAGTGGGAGAATAGAGATAGAATGAAGCAGAATGATGAAAAAGGGGTCCCTATGTCCTCCAGCAGTCTAAGCCTATAGCAGCATAACTATAGAGATAGCTCAGGATAACCTGAGCCACTCTAACTAGAAGCTTTATCAAAAAGGAAAGTTTTAAGCCTAGCCTTAAAAGTAGACAGGGTGTCTGCCTCACGGACTAAAACTGGTAGTTGGTTCCACAGGAGAGGAGCCTGATAACTAAAAGATCTGCCTCCCATTCTACTTTTAGAAATTCTAGGAACCATTAGTAAACCTGCAGATTGAGAGCGAAGTGCTCTGTTAGGAACATAAGGAACAATCAGATCTCTGATATCAGATGGAGCTTGGCCATTTAAGGCTTTATATGTGAGAAGGAGGATTTTAAATTCTATTCTTGATTTAACAGGAAGCCAATGAAGAGAAGCCAGGATAGGCGAGATATGATCTCTCTTTTTCATTTTCATCAGAACTCTGGCTGCAGCATTTTGGATCAGCTGAAGGCTTTTAACTACAGTTTGTGGACTTCCTGATAGTAAAGAATTACAATAGTCCAGCCTTGAAGTAACAAATGCATGGACTAGTTTCTCAGCATCACCCCTGGACAGATTTCTAATTTTTGCAATATTCCTCAGATGAAAGAAGGAAATTCTAGAAACCTCTTTGATCTGGGATTTAAATGACAGGTCCTGATCAAAAACAACACCAAGATTTTTTACTTTATTATCTGAAATCAGTTTAATTACATCCAGATGAAGTGACTGACTAATCAGCTTCTTTTTCAAAGACTCTGGTCCATAGACTATAACTTCTGTTTTGTCTGCATTCAGAAGGAGAAAGTTAAAGGGACACTATGCAACATTTTTCAGTTAATTAATGTGTTCCATAATGTTTTGGATGATTAAATGAGTCATTTCAGGTTGAACAAAGGTATTCTCGGCCGCCCTGGTGGTCTGTGGGGGAAATACTGCACTTGCAACTGCAGGAGCCCTCGGCCCGCACCCACAGGCTCAGAAGTCTCGTGAGAGTCAGTCTTGCTTTACGGCGAGAACTGCTACACCCCCCAGTTAAAAGCATTCTCGTTGCTAGCACAGTGGCGATCTTTGTGCAGTTATGCTACGTTCACGCAGCAAAAGCAGCAAAATCGCGTCTGCTGCTTCCTTTTTGCTGCTTGTACCAGTTAGTTCTGACTCGTGGCTGAAGCAGCTTTGCTGCTCCGGCTGTGTCTGAGGCGCGTTGGGCGGAGCTTCACTAGCCTTTCTCTGCCTTGCAGCTATATTTGCTGTGATCAGTGGGAATAAAGTAGTTTTAATATGTGTTTAAGTGAGAAAATACACCTGAAAACGTAATCAGTGCAGTCAGTTCATTCAGATTATCATCCTGCCTTCAATATTTTTTCTGTCGGAGCCGCTCAGACCCTCACATACCAGCGGGGCGCCAACAGTATGGATCCCTTCATCAGCAGCGGTTCACCGCGGCAGCTGGTAGGTGTTTTTCATCTAAATAATCCAAACTGCATATTCTGCCGGCAGATTTCTGCATTTTAAGTTAATTTAGGCGTCAATAAACTGTTTAAGAGGAGTGATCATCAGCGCTGTGTCTCTCTCCCTGCGTTAAACGCACCCGACGCGCTGCTTCAGCTGCTCAGACGTGCTGCGCCTGGTGCTCAAAACGCGCCGTGGGACCTTTTGTTGCGCCTTGACGCGCGTCAACCATTGACTTTGCATGTAAACTCGCTGCGTCCAGTGTGAACGCAGCGTTAGTCATTCGCTGCTAAGCTCAAAACAACCGCGCCTGGCTTGACGGAGAAACCAGGAGAACAGCTGTGCATATTTACGACAGTGCACTTTTACTTTCGCCCTCTGGAGGGAGCCTCACTGGAAAATCAACACCGGTTGCATAGTGTACCTTTAAGAGTCATCCAGGTTTCAATGTCTTCAAGACATGCCTGTACACAAGTCCATTATCTGAGGCCATGAGAATATCATTAGTGACTTTCACCAGAGCTGTTTCACTGCTATGATTTCAGATTGGATATAGGTCTATAATTGACCAAGTCATCTCCGTCAAGAGATGGCTATTAATAACCTTTAATTAATAGCTGTAATTAAAGGTTTAAATACAGCTACCTTAAAAGCCTGAGGTTCATATCCCTGTAAGAGAGATAGATTAATCACGTCTAAAATTGAGGAGGAAATCTGCAGGAATACTTCTTTAGATAACCTGGTTGGAACTGGATCTAAGATACAAGTTGAAGAGAATAGTTTGGCTAACTCTGAAAGTTCAACTGGGTCAAATCACAGAAATTTAATCAGCAGATTTAATCAAATTTACCAGAAATACATATTTTCCAACTTAATGTTGCAGCACACCCTAAAAAATGACAGCAGAAAAACTTGTCATGCTTGAGACAGTGATAATTTCCGTGGAATGCCTGATAGGGTTGCACCATAGGTTTCTGGAAGTGGTGGCATGCAGCTGGGTGTGACAGTCACTTTAAAATCCACCTGTGCACAGATACTCCTCAGTGCACACTCGGCATCAGACAGATTGCTTTCAACTCTTCATCCTAGAAGGAGACGTTAAACCAAGGCCACCATGTCTCTTAACTGGTTCAATGACGACAGCCATACAGGTACAGTATTCATCTTTTCCGTTAATTTAAGAAACAGTCAGCAGGGTTGTTAAACGTGGATAAAAAGACAACAAATCAGATAAATGTTTCTGTGTAAATCTGATCATGCAGACTGGTTTTGGTCTTTCTGGTGAAAGCTTTTTAACAGGAATGGAGTGGATTTTTGGAAACTATTTCTGAATAGCACAATGAGGTAAATATTAACATGTTTAAACGTGTCTCAGGAGGACAAGAACCTTATAATAAAGAAAGAATAAAAAACTATCCCCTCATCAAATGATTGCAGATTTAATCACATTTATTTCTCATCTTAGCACTAATGAGATTTATTGGTTTTAATGAAGCAAATTATGATAATTGTTGCAGGTAGTGCAGCAGCGCGTCTCCTCAGACAGTCATTAGTTGTGTTTTTGTCATGAAATAGCTGCTTAATCTGAAGACAAAGGAAAACGGAACAATTGTTTATTTATCCTTGGTTCACCTGAATGACTCTGAATTCCTGCCTTTTTGCTTAAATTGCATACATTAACTTTCTGGCAACACTGAAACGTGTGGAACTTAAATAGTCGGCAAGAACCTTTTCATTTTGGTTTAAAAAAAATAACAAGGCAGTTTTTTTATTTGGTTTGAAAGCTAATAAATTATTATCTTTATTTATATCTTTCTTCTTGCCATCGACTTGAAGTCGAGAAAAGAGTTTCAGTGTGCTGTGATTTATATTTTTTTTACAACCACTCCACAGTTGGTCATTATTATTTAAATGGTTTTAAAACAGTTTTATAATCATTTTAAAGTGAATACAAAGCAGCAGTTTGATTTTTTTCCACCAAAACGTGCTGATAATGAGCTTTTTGCAGCTGCCAAGTCTGCATCCCATATCTGTTAATGCAGACTAACATGAGAGCAGATTTTATAGTGCTGACCCCTTTCATATTGACTGGATGGAAAAATGAAACTCTGAAACAAAGAGCTGATAGTTAGGAAGATGTTTTGAGATTCTCAATCACTGCCGTGGACTTGAACAACAGAAATATGGACAGGCCCTCTGATTCCTCACAGTTTTAGCAACAACCTGTCAGGATGTAGTAACTCGTGTTTAGAAACAATCAAAAAATGGGTTGCTTTTTAGTTTTTTTTTTTGTTTTTTTTTTTTTTTTACAAAATGTAAAAATGTATTAAACAATGCTGAATAATATAGAAATGCAATCTGTAATTCCCTCTCAAGTCGAAAAATCAGGAAACCAAGTTGTTCTTTAGATACTGGCTTTAATCACACAAGAAGTATGATAGTGTGCCATGAGAACTGTTAAAACATACAGAAAGAAAAGCAAACAAACTAATTATTTCCCCGAAAGGACATCAAAGGAAAAAAGCGACCATACAATATATGACTCAACAGAAATTCTTCGCGTTACATCTTAACGGTCAAACAAAGTAAACAGTAAATTAAAATAAAATGTACCTCATTGGCCGCTTTCCCTTGAGAGAAAATTAGAATCTTCAGTCCTTTATCCAATGTCCTTATCACTGGTGACTTAGGCAGAGGAATCAGCGTGGTGTCTGCCTGATTGTTTTTTCCAGAACCACGTTACAGATCCACAGGTACCGACCCTTAAAGGTAACACTCCGTCGACCCACAGCTGCATCCCCTTAACCCCTTAATTAGGACTCGTTCCCCCACATCAAAACAAACAATATTCAAGAAACACATGAAATTATACTTTAATATTTAACCTTTATTACTAAAAATGTGTGTATTTATGAGCTCTATATTTTTAACTTAAATATTTATTAATCTCTTATTTATTTATTTATTCTGACTTCGATGGCAGCTACACAATCTATCGTTCTATATTCCATTATCAGAATTGGAAAATCTTTATTGTAATTGTACAAAAAAAAAGGTGGAAGGTCAAAAAGATGAATAAAAAAATAAGATGCAGTCAAAAAAGTTATACAAAAATATTTATTTACATATACATACACATACTATTCATATATATATATATATATATATATATATATATATATATATATATATATATATATATATATATATATATATATATACATTGATGCCTAACCCTCACAATTTTTATCATATTCTTAGCCCTGATCTTAAACAAAAGTTAATTCACTCTTCACACCACTCCCCTAAACTGACTCTCTAAGGTTAAATTTGGGTCGGCCACATATAGGGGCCAACCTTTAGTCCTCACAAAATGTGTTGGTCCTCAGAAGGATAGGAAATAGACTAAAAACCGTCCTAAATAGGGAACATAAAAAGGTCCATATATACAAACCTGCAATCACAATATACTGACATAAAGAACTAATAAAGAAATAATTGGTTTGGATGTTAGAATATTACATATGTTTATTACACTGAGAAAATTATTTTAAGAAAATTGTAAAAATCTCATCACAGGTGGCTAATTTCTAATGACCAAATAAGGAAAGAATTACTGCTGAAAATCCTTTTTTCCAAACCGCCTCTTTGCAGCTTATCTCTGGGAACAAACCACATGTAGACCTGGTTGGAGCGGTTTTTGTGGTTGGATTTATTTGCCCAAGTTGTTTAACCAACTTTCTTTGCATGATTTATGGATTCCTGAAATGTTTGCACAAGCCCTGAAATTTGTCAGATTGTTACAGTAGAGGTCAAAAAAAGGGTGTGTTTTTGTACTGTTTCCTACACTCTCACCTGTTTTGGCATGCTCCCTTCAGGCACACAGGCTGGGATGAGTAAACACACCCAGTTTCTGCTTCTAAAATATATCAGCAGGCATTTGGCAAGAGCTTTGTCCTCTCCACACCCTTTCTATGTTTGTATGCTGCTGCCTGCAACAGACAGGTTAGGTTTAACAGTCTGGATGTCCATTAGACTCACTTTGTTATCAGTGATTAATGGGGGAAAAAAAACTGTTTTCTAACATTTAAACTAAGTTCTGGGGGAAAAATGTGTATCTCTGCTTCTGTCTCTATGTCTGATTCTGTCTAATTGAACCCGCTCACACTAAGCCTGGTTTTGCTGGAGGTTGCTTCGGTTAAAAGGGAATTGTTTCCTCTCCGCTGAGGGATTGACCTTCGAGGGAATGTGTCGATACAATAAACTGGTTTTCCTTAGATAGAAAGCTTTGAAATCATTTGACTGTATGATCTGGTTGAATTGACTCTGTAAAGTGCCTTGAGACGCCATGTGTTGTGAATTGGCACTATAGTAATAAACTGAATTCAATACTGAATTGTAAAGAGTAGTAAAAATTCTAGCAAACCAAAATAATCCATCTTTTGATTCTTGTTTTTTCTGTGTGTTTAGTTTTCAGAGAGGTGGACCTCCACAGTGAGACCAACAACAATGAGCACCACACTAGTGAAATATCAGTGGACCGGCTGATTGTGAGACGAGGCCAGTCCTTCAAACTTACCCTCAAACTGGTTCAGCCTTTCAACCCCGGCTTTGATCAGCTAACGATGACTGCAGAAACTGGTTGGTGCCTTTTAGCTATTGAATTAAATTATTTCCTTTTGAAACCTACAAACAAAAACACTTAAATTACTATATTTTTAAAAGGTAATCATACCCCTTACTTGTTCACACATTTCATTTTTCTATCTAGAATTTCAATTGACCTTATATGGATTTTACATGATTAACCAACAGCTCTGTGAAATTGCAGTTCCTGATTATAAATCCGCATTTAACCACAATTATGCTGTTGAAATGGTGGTTAAACTCAACCAATAGTTTGGATCATGAATCAATTCAAAAACCCTTTGGGGATCAGAAGCTGAACAGTTTGGGAAACTCTGTTCTTAAAGGAATAGTACACCCAAAACATGAGTAGCCTTCATTTTCTACTCACCCCCATGCTGAACAACACTCTGGAGTACTTTTTTGATATCTCAAATGCATCTGGAGATCTGGGAGGCTTCTTGCTGTCTGCTGACATTCAAATAATGGAGGTCTATGGCGCCCGAGGCAGAAAGGTCCATAAAAGTCCACAAAAACGTGTCAATATTCCTCCATACTGCTCGTCCAATGTATTCCAAGTGTCCTGAGTGGGTAGCGTCCATAATTTACTCGAAACGAAGTCATTTAGAATGTTTTTAGAGCATAAACAGTAGTGTATAGGATTTCCTGAAAGCGCGCGCCAGCGCGTTCAGGACGCTACGGAAGCCGGCAGACCAAACCAGATGAAAGTGCGCATTCAGCATCTGCTCTGCCGATAATGCAAGCGTAGAAGAAGAAATGTGCTGTTTACCTGTGCAAAGAAAGAAACAACGAAAGAAAAATGTCTGAGGACTTCAGTGTTGAGGAAGAGCATGAGTTCTTTGCCGAGCTGAATGCGCACTTTCATCTGGTTTGGTCTGCCGCGGAATGAAGGCTAATCATATTTTGGGTGTACTATTCCTTTAATCATCTGTAAATAAAGAAAAAAAAAAGGATTTAAAACACACTGAGAGAACATTTCTGATGTTCTGAAACATTGTTTCAAACATTAGGATGAAACAATGTTGGATCTCCGATATTTCATTTCATTTTCATTTATTGTTTATTTGAAAGGGGACAGTGTACATTAATAAACATTAAAACAATGTAACTATACCCGAGTTAGCTAAGGAGTGCTAATTTTCATCGGTAGTCCCCCAGCCAGATATTAAAAAGGCAACCTTAAAAATAAACACAAGTATAAAATCACAAGATTAAATTACAATACCAATTACATAAAAACATTATGGTTAAGAAGTAAAATGTATGTAAAATGATTAAAAAATTTATTGTAAAATTATTTAAATGCACACTAAAAACCTTAGTGCCCACAAATTTGGCTCTCTACAAGCCATTTTTTTTGCATTCTTTTTGAATGAAGAGAATGACAAAGAGTCTCTGATGGTTTCTGGCGCTGTGTTCCATTGCTGAGATGCTCTTACGGAGAAAACAGCCTGACCAAAGGCTGTTTTTCTCCGGGGGATGATGCAGTCTTCCCTCACTGCCCCTCTGGTTACCCTGACCTCACTGGATCTGAACTGTACAAAGTCACATAGTGGAGGTGGTGCTAAACCATGTCTGATTTTATAAATTAAACAGATGTTTTTGAACTTGATAAGATTGTTCCAGGTAAGTAACTGATATTTCCTCAGAATACTACAATGGTGGTAGTGGTATGGTTTTTTATCCAGTATTTTTAATGCTTGTTTATATAATGTTATATAATGTATCAGGAATAAATCTATCTGATCTCAAGAAAAAGGACAAGAGCTATTTTGAAACCTTTTTAAATATAAAACCACAACAGCAGGAGAGGATTTATAAGTAAATGGCCTGTACTTATATAGCGATTTGGTCAAGTCAGGAGACTTGACTAAAGCGCTTTATACTACATTCAGTCATTCACACTAGAGACTGACATTTTTTTGGGAATCCCACGGGTCACGGGATTCCCGTGGGATTCCCGTGGGATGGGAGTCAGTATTAGCAACGATCACGTGTTTGGGACGGTACAGGATTAAACATTAACGGGAGCGGGAGCAAACCAATATTAACTAAAAAAAACTAGGATCGATGCCAAAAAATAAAATAAAATAGAAAGAAAAAAATCCAGTACTGGCGCCGCCATTTTGTAGTTTTTTTCCTTGAAGCCTACACTATAATGCGAGTCAAAAAAACTACACGACCAAAAAACCAACAGTGCTTCCGCTCTGAGTTTTTCACCCGCGCTAGAATGGGAGTGGTGCAGGAGCGGGAGTCATTCTGAATGGGAGCGGGATGGGAGTGGGAGTAATTTCACCAGGAGTGGGACGGGACAGGATTTAGATTTCTACTCTGGCCTGGGATCGGGACACAAATTTTTTTTGTGGGAGTGGGACGGGACAGGAGTGAAAATCCACTCCCGTGTCAGTCTCTAATTCACACACACTGATTGTGGCAAGCTGCATTGTAGCCACAGCTGCCCTGGGGCTCACTGCCGTACACTGGCGCCATCGGGCCCTCTGACCACCATCAGTAGACAATGCAGGTGAAGAGTCTTGCCCAAGGACACAACAACACTGAAAGTCGGACCCGGGGCTTGAACCGTCAATCCTCCGATTTCAGAGCAAACTCCTACATCCGACGCCACTGTCGCCCTGATATGTCTTGTGTTTTGTCTTGTGAATTGGTGCTATATAAATAAACTGAAGTGAATTTAATTGAATGGGCATAAATGTCGCCTTACTACTTGGGTTGTGTCTGTTTGTAGGACATTTTCCATCAGAGGACAAGGGGACAATGTCTCACTTTGGTTTCCCAGACAAAGTGCTTCATTCAGGCTCTGCTAAGGCAGTTTGGAAGGCAGAGCTTCACAAGAGCTCTTCTCCTGAAACTGGAGTCTTGACTCTGAGCATCACCCCCCCAGCTGACACTCCTATAGGGGAATACAAACTGACAGCCAAACTTCAGGACAAGGAGAAGATGTTGGCCAACCTTTCTGTGCTTTTCAACCCATGGAGTCCTGGTAAGGTTTGCTTATTTGTATTGCCTTTTTTTGTGTTGCCTTGTTCTTTGAAGGTTGAGGTGCAGAGTTTACTGCTGAGCAAATGGTAAATAAACTGTTGTGGACAGGTGCAGAACCCATTCAAGGTCCGCTTCATGCTAATGTGGGTCCTCTAAATAAACATGTTCTACTGCTTTTCTTAGGGACGTCTATTTTCACGCTGCTTTCTCTGGTTCATAGTCAGAGTGACATCAACCACTATATGGCATCTCCCCGAAAAAACCCTAAACTGTCTACTTTTTGCTTTTCAGGCCATGACTTAATAAATTATTAATAATCAATTTAAAATGGTTGCTACTTATTTAGAGGCAGCTATTCCCTTTATTCCATGATTATTCCCAACAGCACTGAGAAAATTCTTCAACCATATGGAGAGTTTCTTTCCGTATGAATGAAATTTCTTATAGATATGTCCCAAATCAGATAAGAAATCGGAAAATATTGGCCTGCATCTGAAATCTCTGATCTAAGCTGGCTGATAGTTTGTTTAAACCCATTTAGAATTATCTGCTATTTTTTTCTAATACATGCCAGAGTTCTGTCAGATGAGCATACCCTATCAGACCAGGATACCCAAAGTCAATACCCGTTTATCCCTTTAGTTCATCCCTTTGGTCATGTACAAAAAAAAATATTTAATGACTTAGTTTTTGTTGTTTTTTGAAGCGTATGGCGATCTGACCTTAAATATTTTTTTTGTATATGACCAAAGGCATACATGGCCGTTGAAGTAGTTTAAAGTATATTTTTCGTAAAAAACTAAAGGAATGAACGCAAATCTGACATCTTGCGCATGAGTATTGACTATGAGTATGTTGATCTGACAAAACACCGTTATTGGCAGAGTTATTGGTGCATTCGGCATACATGCCTTGAGATATGTGATAAGCCTGATTGGCCTCATGAGAATTCCTCTCTGACTCGGCAAACTGAGGTTGATCTGAACGTTATCTACTGCTTAAGAGGTGGTAATACTCCACAGAATTGCTCTAAAAACAACCTTTTTCTGTGTGGTTTGACTTTCTGGATAGATGACTGGGTGTTTATGCCAAACGAGGCAGAGAGACAGGAGTATGTGATGAACGAGCAGGGAATAATCTACAGAGGAGGTGGAAACTACATCGTTCCAATGTCGTGGGACTATGGACAGGTACACACACACACACATAATGTAGAATTCATGCCTGAACTCCTTCTAGATAAAAATTAATCATGTTTTTGTTTAAAAATCAAACCTTCTTAGGTTTTTTTTCAGGAGAAAAGCTATGAATTATATTTTAGGAATAAAGACCAGGGTTATTTCTCCATGTTTGCCTTTAAATGATGACATGGAGGCAACTGTGATATCAAAAGAACCTTTAGTTTTACTGACATTTATTGTTAGATTTCATCAAATTTGTTTGTGTTGAAGGGAAAGTCTGGTCAGCAAGGAATAATCAATGGATCATTATTTATACCTAAAACTAATCAGTTTGCGGTGATTTAATGAATATAGCGTAAATCAGAAAAAAATAATAATAACAATTTTTGTTGCGATCACTGCCATCTTCTGGCAGTGACCTCACGGTACGGTAAGCCTAGCGCCATTCTCCCCGCTTTACAAGCTAAATCAATGGGAACTACTAGACACATCTGCAATCAACAACAATTATTGAAGATTTCCAGACGACTTCACCATTGAAATTCACCAGAGCTATAGTGAAACTGACAATGCCCACGTGCATAGCAGCTGGATGCTGGAATACATTGGGTAAAAGTGAAAAAAAATGAGTTGTTACACCTTTCCGATTTCTGAACCTCCACGGACGGGTTGGTCGTTGGATTGCCAACTTGAAGAGGGAGGATTTACCATCGAAGTTCTGGCCAGAGAAGAAACAGGTCATATGTAGCCAAAATTTCGAAGAAGAATGTTTTCACGATGGTTTGGATAATAGGACCAATCCTGCCATGATAAAAAATGCATACAAAGATAAATGAAGGATTCAATAATATAAAATTGTTTCAAAAAGTAGCTAATAACATAAATTTGTGTGCCATTAAATGTGACAAAAGTGCCGAGGTCACCGGGAAAGCTTCACAACTATTCAATTCAATTCAATTCAGTTTATTTATATAGCGCCAAATTCACAACACATGTCATCTCAAGGCACTTTACAGTTCAACCAGATCATACAGTCAAATTGATACAAAGTTTTCTATCTAAGGAAAACCAGTTGATTGCATTGACTCATTGACTCAAATACAATCCCCCACACTAAGCATGCTTGTAGCGACAGTGGAGAGGAAAAACTCCCTTTTAACAGGAAGAAACCTCCAGCAGAACCAGGCTCAGTGTGAGCGGCCATCTGCCGAGGCCGACTGGGGTTCAAGGAGACAGAAGCAGAGATACAAAAAGCAGCTGTAAAAGGCGGCCCCGTCCAGGAAACACACAGCCAGGCAGACGAGCTCCAAGGCAGCTCCCATGCCAGAGGACGAAGAGAGCACATCCACTCAGTCACGGTCAGAGAAACAGGACCACACTGGAAAACAGGCCGATCTCCAACATCTATAAACAAGGGTGTTGATAGAAGCAGCACAGCTGATGTTTCTTTCCAGGATGACGTCACAGCCAAACAGGAACAGACGAGGCAAAGCTACTCTGAGGAAAAGCAGAGAGAGCAGAAGGTTAGAGATTGAACTAACAGATTCTGCAGGATAGGAGAACAGAGAGAGAATGAAGCAGAATGATGAAATGGGGGTCCCTATGTCCTCCAAAAGTCTAAGCCTATAGCAGCATAACTATAGAGATAGCTCAGGATAACCTGAGCCACCTTAACTATAAGCTTTATCAAAAAGGAAAGTTTTAAGCCTAGCCTTAAAAGTAGACAGGGTGTCTGCCTCACGGACTAAAACTGGTAGTTGGTTCCACAGGAGAGGAGCCTGATAACTAAAAGATCTGCCTCCCATTCTACTTTTAGAAATTCTAGGAACCACTAGTAAACCTGCAGATTGAGAGCGAAGTGCTCTGTTAGGAACATAAGGAACAATCAGATCTCTGATATCAGATGGAGCTTGGCCATTTAAGGCTTTATATGTGAGAAGGAGGATTTTAAATTCTATTCTTGATTTAACAGGAAGCCAATGAAGAGAAGCCAGGATAGGCGAGATATGATCTCTCTTTTTAATTTTCATTAGAACTCTGGCTGCAGCATTTTGGATCAGCTGAAGGCTTTTAACTACAGTTTGTGGACTTCCTGATAGTAAAGAATTACAATAGTCCAGCCTTGAAGTAACAAATGCATGGACTAGTTTCTCAGCATCACCCCTGGACAAGAGATTTCTAATTTTTGCAATGTTCCTCAGATGAAAGAAGGAAATTCTAGAAACCTCTTTGATATGGGATTTAAATGACAGATCCTGATCAAAAATAACACCAAGATTTTTTACTTTATTATCTGAAATCAGTTTAATCCCATCCAAATGAAGTGACTGGCTAATCAGTTTCTTTTTCAGAGACTCTGGTCCAAAGACTATAACTTCTGTTTTGTCTGCATTCAGAAGCAGAAAGTTAAGAGTCATCCAGGTTTTTGTCTTCAAGACATGTCTGTAATCTATGTAATGGGTTAGCTTCATCTGGATTTATAGACAGATATAGCTGGGTATCATCAGCATAACAGTGGAAATTAATCCCATGCTGTCTAATAATTCTACCAATTGGGAGCATGTATAAAGTAAAGAGAATTGGTCCTAGCACTGATCCCTGTGGTACTCCACAGGTAACCTTTGAGCGTGTTGAAGATCTATCATTAACATGAACAAACTGAATTCGATCAGATAGATAAGATTTAAACCAGTCTAGTGCTGTTCCTTTAATTCCAACAAAATATTCAAGTCTTTCTAAAAGAATATTATGGTCAACTGTATCAAATGCAGCACTAAGATCCAACAGGACGAGCACAGATACAAGTCCATTATCTGAGGCCATGAGAATATCATTAGTGACTTTCACCAGAGCTGTTTCAGTGCTATGATGAGCTCTAAAGCCAGACTGAAACTCTTCAAAAAGTTCATTATGGTGGAAGTGATCACAAACTTGTTTGGCAACTACTTTCTCAAGAATTTTGGATAAGAAAGGAAGATTGGATATAGGTCTATAATTGACCAAGTCATCTGGGTCAAGAGACGGTTTCTTAAGCAGAGGTTTAATTACAGCAACCTTAAAAGCTTTAGGTACATATCCCTGTAACAGAGATAGATTAATCACATCTAAAATGGAGGAGGAGATCAGCCTATTGGCCAAGGCTAGCTCCCCGGAAACGGTTGCTGAGCGCGTGCTTTGATTTTGCCTCCAGGCAAAGGTGTGACGATGGCTAACTTGTTAAATGCCATAGCAAATGAATTAATACAAGTTGCTGATTTGTCAGAAGACAACACAGATTCAAACAATTATGTTCTATATTGTTTCAACTAACAGAGAGAATAATACTGTTAGAGACAACCATCAAAGCAGATGTTGACCCAGCGGTTTTGCAAAGTTTGGACAAGGTTGCTTGCCGCTTTTACTCTACTGTGGTGAAGTTAGTTTTACGTTGGATATTCGACAGACATTTGCTCCTGCTAAGCCACTTCTTCCTGCGGGTAATCTTCTTCGCTCAATGAAAACCTTTTCTTTACTTCGGATACACTGCGATCTGAGAAAGCCGCTCCAACACTTCAAGTGCACCTGTATTATAGACTTCCCAGGTAGCAGTAGAGTTCTTTGACAAACATGGATGTCTCCAGTAAAGCACATTCAAATGACAATTACTCTTAATCAAAAACACATAATTTATTAATGATCAGAAGTTTGAATTCTAAATATGACCGGACTTTTCCTTTGAAATGCAGTTTAAGAGCAAGAATCCAGCATCTCTGTCTTCTTGTCCAGTTTGAACAGGGCATGGTGGAAATCTGTATGAAGATACTGGACCGCAACCTCAAACACTGGATCAACCCAGCGGATGATGCTTCCGCACGCAGCGACCCCATCTACGTCAGCCGAGTGGTCAGCGCCATGGTAGGTCACACTCTTCAATTTTCAGGCTAAACTCTTTACAAAACTCTGTTTCACATTAAACCACATCCAGCTTCATCCGCTCACTTTGAAACAAAACTTGGTCCATATCCTCCAGCATGAACGCTAAAATATACATCATCAGAAACTGATCGCGCTTGGAGATACTCTTTAAAAACTTGGATGTTCCTATGTTTTTATTCTCGGTCATCCAAGTCATAACAACCACAAAACAAGCTTAAATTTGAGGCAATCTGACTTTTTCTTTCTTTTTTATTTGTCTCCTCTTTTGTCTATCTAACTCTGGGAAATAATGTCCCAGACTAGCTTATATACTAACAGCTTTGCTTTCACAAGCTGACCATAATGACTGTTGTCATAAGGTTCTGCTTAATACTTGCATATTAAACTTTATTGAACATTATCTGGGGAGTGAAATCGTATGCAACACGGAAAGGGAGATGAGAGAAAGAAGGGATAATAACTAAGGGAAGACAGAGAGAGAGACGAGAAAAAGTGTTTGAAAATATAGAAAATAAAACAAAACAGCACAAATAGACACGGAAGTTATTGAGTAACTCCCAGAAGTCTGCTTCCACAGCTGTATGAGATGAGAGGAACAGAAAACAGAGAACATCAACAGACAACCAAAGTAAACTTCAAAGAAACCTTTCCGGACAGCAGGTATCCCTTAGATATCCATGTGTGTGGGAGTCATAACCTATGGTCATTCCACAATAGTATTCAGGGAGGTATATATCTGTAGCTGCAGCTTAGGATTTAGTATTAGTGTGCACCTGGAACCAAATGCATGAGCATGCCTGTGTATAAAGAATTCACAAAGCTCCTTTAGAAGTTAAGTATGCTGAATAGCAGGTGTGGGTGGCCCCAGAATTGCCCTACATGGCATGGTAAAAGGAGGCCACCAGAGCCTCAGATATATTATAGCTGTAGCTGGCTAGCTCAAGTGGTAAGACACCCATCCTGTAAACAGGAAGACTGAATTTGTACCCCAGCTGGGGGAGGGGATGAGCTGCCAGTGTGTGTCCTTAGACAAGACCCTGCATGCTAGCTCAATGCTCTAACCTAGTGGTTAGAGCATTGAGCTGGGAATCCTGAGGTTTTAAGTTCAAGCCCCACTACCACGGACTGCCAATCTGGCTTCCTGAACAAGACCCTTAACCCTTGGCGCTGCACAGTGGCAGCCCACTGCTCCCCAAGGGAATGGGTTAAATGCAGAGAGTTCATTTTGTTGCTCTGTACTTGTGGGTAACAACAATAAAACGCAGAAAAGAAATATATATATATATATATCCAGAGGAACCCCAGATCACTGAGACATAAAGATGGGAGACATAGGGATTGCTGCACCCACCCGAGAGGGTTAGACGAGAGCCCCCAGAGCGGGGGCCCCTCGGGGACTGGATGAGAGCCCTGGGAGGAGGCAGGCCCAGTTCATACTTGGGCCTAGAGTGTTCAGTGGGTGCAGCCGGGAAAGCAAACACCCAACCTGACAAGAAGCCACAAAAACAACTTCACATTCATCCAGTCCCATTCATACAATCCCTCTCTTAGACCCATAAGGACATACACAAGCACACAAACTGACTTTTTCACATAGACTCTTCTCCCATCTTAGATCATCTGTAAAGTAGGTCTGTGACAAAATGATGTCTGATCTTAGATGCATTGGCCACATAAAAATCCTTTATTATATGATATTAATCCTGTAAATCAAGTACCTGTGTCTGCGAGGGTTATTTTTCTGACCTGACAAACCTTAGTGACGACATTCATTGCCTTCGTTTTACAGAAAACCATAAGATGATGTTACCCCTAAGGGAAAATAAGCTAACTTTTTGAGCCAAACACCAGGCTGTGAATGTGAACTTCCAATATTTCTTCTCAAATAAATAATTTGATTTTAAGACACAGTCTTTTCTTGAATAAAATACTCAAATAAGCCTAAACTAGAACCTGACTGCATGATTTGGTAAACTGTATGTTCGGAGAACAGCATACTGTTTTTAACTGTTTTTATAGTGCTATTTATTTCCTTTGATTGGTAGATGGAAACAAGACAATTCTTTCTTATGGAATAGTTCTACATAAATCTAATCTTTATTACTCAAACTGTATTGCTTAGGGTTAAATAAAGGGAATTTACATCCAAAAAAACCTGTAGGCCTATGTGGCCTTTTACATACACCACAGCCTATCATGGTCCGTTGGTCTAAATATGGACAAAGCTTAAGTGGTGAAGAACAGAGACAGAGCTGTGCCTTGGAATAGCCTATTCTCTAAAAAAATAATAAAGGCAGTGTAAGACCAGACGGTGTAAATTTCAAAGGGGAGCATTTTGCATTTAAAATCTCTCTGCTTATGGACCCTAAACAAAATATGTTTTTGTGCGCATGTACTAAAGCATATTACCAGGGGCTAAGCACCCCAAATTTAGGGTCCTAAAGACGTCTTTGCTGTTAGATTGTTCATGATTGGTCCTCGTCTTGTAGATTCAGAGCAGGTCCCGTCCAGCCTCCGCTTCTGGCCGCTTCTCGGCTCTGGTTCTCTCTTCCCGGCATCCTGCTTTGATCTCCGGCTGCTCCAGTCTGAGCTCCACAGCACCTCCTAACCAGTTTTTGATTCTGGGAAGATGGAATTGCCATGGAGAGAGACTGTGGTCCAACTTTGCTCCTGGACTTCTGGACTGGGAGTATATCTGGAGGATGTGGAAGACTCTGGGGCAGCGAGGCTATTGTTTAGCTGCTGGAATTAAACAAAGAAACATGACTCACTCAGTAAACTCCAGGTCGGTCATGTTGAGAAGAAACCAGTGAGCCGGTAGAAGCTGCTCCTACTTGAGGAGGCGGTTGAGCGTTTGTACCTGCTGGCCATGCCAATGGTTGTTGAAATGTCAAACAGGCAACAGCATGCGAATGACGTGGAAAATTCACCGGAACTGCTTTCCTGTGCGAACGCAACATAATCCCCAGTCATCAAATGAATTATTTTACATGTTTGTTTTTTCAAATTCTTTGTGAAACATTCTGCCATTAGTTGACAAAAGGGAACGTATGTATTGTTCAAGTGAAGAATTATTCCCTTTCTTTCAGATTAACAGCTCTGATGAAGGCGGCGTAGTGATGGGAAACTGGAGCAGTAACTTCAATGGTGGGGTGCCGCCCACTCACTGGAATGGCAGCTATGCCATCCTGAAGCAGTGGTATAAGACCTACTACCAGTCAGTCAAATACGGCCAGTGCTGGGTGTTTGCCGGCGTCATGTGTTCTGGTAAATCCTGGTGGTTTTCTTTTTATATCCATGCACTACTTTAAAAAACTTACACGCTGAAGAAGTCTAATGTCCATTTAGTTGAATTAAAATGTTAACAGGCAACAGCTCCATCGGAGCTCAATTAACACGCTGCAAGAGCATCCATGACGTCACCGGAAGCCTCCTAGCCTTCATTTTCTACTCACCCCCATGCTGATCAACACTCTGGAGTACTTTTTTGATATCTCAAATGCATCTGGAGATCTGGGAGACTTCTTGCTGTCTGCTGACATTCAAATAATGGAGGTCTATTGTGCGTGTGACAGAAAGGTCCATAAAAGTCCACAAAAAACGTGTCAATATTCCTCCATACTGCTCGTCCAATGTATTCCAAGTGTCCTGAGTGGGTAGCATCCAGAATATACTCGAAACGAAGTCATTTAGAATGTTTTTAGAGCATAAACAGTAGTGTACAGGATTTCCTGAAAGCGCGCGCCCGCACGTTCACGACGCTACAGAAGCCGGCAAACCAAACCAGATGAAATTGCGCATTCAGCGTCTGCTCTGCCGAGAATGCAAGCGTAGAAGAAGAAGTGTGCTGTTTACCTGTGCAAAGAAAGAAACAACGAAAGAAAAATGTCTGAGGACTTCAGTGTTGAGGAAGAGCATGAGTTCTTTGCCGAGCTGAATGCGCACTTTCGTCTGGTTTGGTCTGCTGTGGTTTCCGTAGCGTCGTGAACTTGCAGGCTTTCAGGAAATCCTATAAACTACTGTTTATGCTCTAAAAACATTCTAAATGACTTCGTTTCGAGTAAATTCTGGATGCTACCCACTCAGGACACTTGGAATACATTGGACGAGCAGTATGGAGGAATATTGACACGTTTTTTGTGGACTTTTATGGACCTTTCTGCCTCGGGCACCATAGACCTCCATTATTTGAATTTCAGCAGACAGCAAGAAGCCTCCCAGATCTCCAGATGCATTTGAGATATCAAAAAAGTACTCCAGAGTGTTGTTCAGCATGGGGGTGAGTAGAAAATGAAGGCTAGGAGGCTTCCGGTGACGTCATGGATGCTCTTGCAGCGTGTTAATTGAGCTCCGATGGATGTCATTTAAAATAAGAGTGACAACTAAAATAACTCGACGCTGAAATATAAAAAAAATATATATGAACGAAACATGAGTTCCTCCGCTAGACAAAGAAGACAAGATAAACTGGATCCCTCGAAAGGAAAGGACGATAAGCCGAATCCACCGAGCCCGACTAGCAAACACACGGCTAGTAGCAACACAATTCAATCAGACTTAACGGTGTTGGAAGAACTGAGAAAACTCCGAAAAGAAAATCAAGAGGGACATAACCACACTAAGCTGGCTCTTAGCCGCGTTGAACAATCTGTTTCGGACATAAAAGACCAACTGGTGGAGCACGAAGAAAGAATGGGGAGATTTGAGGAGAGACTCAGCACAGCGGAAGACACGGAGCTGCGCCACCAACGGGCGCTAAGATACCTGCTGCACCGCGATATATAACTTTCGGCAAAGTGTGAAGATCTTCAAAACAGGCTGAGAAGGAACAATATCAGAATTTTTCAAATCCCGGAGGACAGTGAGGGAAGAGATATGGCTGGTTTCGTAAAGGCTCTACTCCAGAAGGAACTTAAACTCCCACCGGACCTGGATATTAAGATTGAGAGGGCACATCGCTCACTGGCGGCTAAGCCGAAAGATTCAACGGCGCCTCCAAGATCAATAATAGTAAGATTTCTGGACGCGGCGGTAAAAGACACAATCATAAAGCAGGCATAGAGCCAGGGGCCAGTTCTCTTTCAAGGCAAGCGGATCTATTTTGATCAGGACTACTCTCCTGAGCTACAGCAGAAACGGATGAAAGTCCACGAAGTTATTAAACAGCTTAAAAAGAAGAACATACAGGCAAGGTGCCTGTATCCAGCGCAAATAAAAATTAAGCTGAACACCGGGGAGAAGACGTTTGCGTCGTTAACGAGTGCCGCAGCGCTGCTGAAGGAGCTGGGGATTGACGCGCGATGCGGGGAGAGGGAGCGCATCGAGGAGGAGCTGAAGGATGGATGGAGGAGCCAAGGGAGGAGAAAAAAAGGAGCGCTTCTGTCTCCAGCTGATCTCAAGACCCTTTTGCAAGAGGACTAAAGGGATTGTTACCATTGAGACAGATAAAAATGTTGTTTCAACTAAAGCAGGGATAAGGTCGGTAACTCCACACTGATTATAACTAACGGACTCATAAGAATACAGTAAAGCGTCAAATTATTATGATCCTAATATACATTGTTGTCACAAAATAAGTTAATGTGTTAGACAGTCCAAAGGAGGCTTTGTTTGAGTTGATGAGTGGAATACACTCTCTGAGACCTTTTTTAATATTGGTCATATTTGCACTGTGTGTGCTTTTTTCCACAGAAAGGGTAGGTCACGCCTCTCTGCCCCAATACCATCGAGGATCTGACACAGCCAGAGTTAAGATGCTGTGTCAGATTGATGAAGTGGAAGCTCAGTTTTGTGTTAATTACACTGTTCTTTGTGTTTTGTTTTTCCTGACAGTTATAATTAAAGTCACTTTGTTAATCAGTAGATACCCTTTGACATCCAAATGTAAACAGGCAGGGAGTTATATCAAAAGACTCTATATGGACTATGGCTGAGCTGAATTTTATAAGTTATAATATAAGAGGAATTAATAATCCAATTAAAAGGAAAAAAATTCTGGGTCAACTAAAGAAGCTGCATTGCTCTGTAGCTTTGATTCAGGAAACACACCTATCAGAGACTGAACATCTAAAACTGAAAAGAGAGTGGGTAGACCAGGTTTATAGTTCTTCATATGGGAGAAAAAAGAAACGAGGGGTAGCTATATTGTTTAATAAATCTGTGTATTACAATAATGAGAAAACCTTTCATGATGATGAAGGCAGATATGTTATGGTAATAGGCACAATGGGAGGAGTAAAGATAACCATACTTAATGTTTATGCCCCAAATGAAGACTGCCCACATTTTATCAAAAGGGTCACAGCTCTACTTGCAGATAAAAGCGAAGGGATTATACTGGTGGGGGGTGACTTCAACTGCACCTTGGATTCAAAGTTGGACAGGTTACCCACAATAATAAAATCTCAATCTAGAATGTCTAAGGCATTATCAACTATGATGAAGGAACTGGGACTAGTAGATATTTGGCGTCAACTCCACCCCAATGAGAGAGATTTCACGTTTATGTCCCAGGCTCATGGGAGCTATTCGAGGATAGATCTTTTCTGCTTAACCAAAACCGAATTACATAGGATAAAAGAGAGCACAATTGAGCCAATCACTATTTCAGACCACGGCCCGGTGACCATGAAAATGAATTTAGTAATAGATAATCATTTCAGACATTGGAGGCTCAATGTCTCATTATTAGCAGACACAAACATTAGGCAAGAAATACATAGAGCCCTGGTTGAATACTTCACCATAAATGATGATGGTAGTGTCTCCCCCTCAATTGTATGGGATGCAAGTAAGGCCACAATAAGAGGGCAGATTATTTCTATAGGATCCAGGATAAAGAAACAAAGGCTGGCTAAACAACAAGGATTGGAAGCTGAAATAAAAAAGTTAACAAGAGAACATAAACAAATGGGAAAGAACGATACTTTAAAAAAATTAATGGAGGTTAGAAAACAACTGGATGAAGCTCTGACATATAAGGCAGAGGGAGCGCTCAGATATACCAATAGAAAATATTACGAAATGGGTAATAAAGCAAGCAGATTACTGGCTTTTCAACTAAGAAAGGCCCAATCTAGTCGTGCAGTTCCTCAGATCAGGAACCCAGAAACCCATCAGATTGAGACTGACCCAACTAAAATCTCAGACTCGTTTGCAACCTATTACAAACAGTTATATACGGCTGAAGAACTAGAATTTAAAGAAGAGAAAGTTAAAAAAAATTTAAGCCCTCTTAATCTGAAAAAACTATCAAGTGAGGATGCAGAACTATTAACAAAACCTATTACAGAAAGTGAAATTAGGGAAACCATCACCAAATTAAAAAACAATAAGTCACCAGGAACAGACGGCTTTTCTGGAGAATATTACAAAATATTTGTGCATGAACTCACTCCCATACTATGTAAATTATATAATTACGTACTTAAATCAGGAGACCCCCCAAATTCATGGTCGGAAGCCATATTGACTGTAATACATAAGGAGGGGAAGGACCCTCATCAGTGTACCAGCTATCGCCCTATAAGTTTACTCTGTGTGGATTATAAAATCTTGACTTCCATAATAGCTACCAGGATTCAAAAAAATATTAAGAAATTAATACAACCAGATCAAACAGGATTCATACAAGGACGTCAAGGAACAAATAACATAAGGAGAGCCCTGAACCTGCAGACAATAGCACGAGAAGAAACACAATCGTCAATGTTTCTCAGCTTGGACGTTGAGAAAGCATTCGACCGAGTCGACTGGGTGTTTCTGAGGCAGACACTAATAGAAATGGGCTTTGGGAAAGAATTTGTGGCCTGGATCAATCTATTGTATAAAAAGCCCAGCTCCAAAGTTAGAGTTAATGGTCACTGCTCCAGCTTCTTCAGGATTGAGCGAGGTGTTAGACAGGGGGATTCGTTGTCTCCTATCTTATTTGCCCTAAGTATTGAACCTCTGGCAGAGGCAATACGCCAAAGTGTACAAATCCAAGGGATAGCAAATGAAGGTGGGTCAGTTCATAAAATAGCTCTATTCGCAGATGATATTTTACTATTTGTAAAAAATCCACTTCTTTCCATCCCTGCACTTATGAAGTGCCTGTGTGAATACGGGTCAGTGTCTGGTTACAAAATTAACGAGACTAAGTCAGAAGCCATGATGATTTCAGGCACCTGGCCTGAACAGCTAAATAACAGTGTCTCCTTTCGCTGGTCCAAACAAGGATTTAGATATCTGGGAATTATTATTACACCTAACCCCACTCAGCTGTTCGAGGCCAACTATAGCAAACTAATTAGACAAATAAAAAACGATGTGACGCACTGGGAGGTCCTTCCCCTTTCTTTAATAGGTAGAGTTGAGACTGTAAAAATGAACCTGCTGCCTAGACTTTTATTCTTGTTTCAGTCCCTTCCTGTAAAAGTACCTGCCTCAACTCTGAACACGTTAGATAAACTAATTTCAACATTTATCTGGCAAGGGAAGAGACCAAGGGTTAGATTGAAATGCCTTCAATTGCCTAGGGAGAGGGGAGGACTGAGTCTCCCGAACCTTAAAAATTATTACCGGGCTGCCCAAATAAATGCAATTGTGGCGTGGCTTGAAAATGACCGGGAAACAATATGGACTCAAATAGAGCAAGATTCAATTAAAACTGTTCCTCTATCTACACTGCCATTTATTGATACAAAGTCAATTCAAAAAATTAGAATAAAGAACGAATGGATAAAACACACGTTAAAAGTATGGACAACAGTTAAAAAATTGCTCAGGGGACCGAAGTCCATCTCCAGGGCCATGTTAATAGTAGGGAACATAGAATTTCCCCCTTCGGTGTGGGATAGAGGGTTTAAAAGATGGGCTGATAAAGGTCTCTGTACAATCAATCAACTCTTTATAGAAACAGAATTCAAATCATTCTCTCAACTTCAAGAACAATTTGACCTCCCATCAAATGATTTTTATAGATACCTTCAGATAAGACATTATATCACAAGTCATAAAGAAAGGCATTTGGTCAGAAAAAAACCAAATGAAATAGAAGAGTACTTTATCAGTGTTATAGAGAAGCATTTCCCAACAAAAAACACATATCTAATATATACAAAAGGTTAGGAACTGACACATTACAAAACACAAACAATATCAAGGAAAAATGGGAATTAGAATTAAATGTTATAATTGAAGACTCTACATGGGTGGATATATGTACCGACTGTCATAGGGGAATTAACAGCCAACTATGGAAAGAATTTGACTGGAAAGTGAAGATCAGATACTTTAATACTCCCTTTATCATCTCCTCATTTGTGAAAAAACCTAGTGTAGCACTATGTTGGCGAAATTGTGGAAAAATTGGAGATACCACACACATTTTTTGGGATTGTCCTGTAATACAGGGATTTTGGGACAATATTAGAAAGGAAATAGAGGGAATATTGAAAGTAAAGGTGATGCCTGAACCTGTGATGTTTTTGTTGGGAGCCATACCTAAAAGTAAATATAACACAGATCAGAGATATATACTGAGGGTTCTTTTATTGATAGCAAAGAAAATGATTACTGTGCACTGGAGAGATGTAAAACCACCAACTATAAATCAATGGGCCCAGAGATTGAAACACGTTTACATAATGGAGCAAATGACTGCAAGCCTACAGCTAACTATGGACATTTTTATACGAAGGTGGACTTGTATTTCAGAATATCTGGGGTTCTGATGGAGAGGACGAGATATTACTAAAAGGAGGGATCTGATGGAATTCCTCATTGGGAAAGGGTACTGCTTGGCCACAGATTATAGATTGTGGATGTTGTCTGCTCTGCCTGCTGTCATAATTGTAAAGACTTTTGGTATTTTGTGTTTGTTGTGATGTGTACTATTTGAGTTTCTGTCAGGAAATGTTATGTTTTGTAAGATTTATAAAATGGTTAAATAAAAAGTTCTAAAAAAGAAAATGAAGGCTAATCATGTTTTGGGTGTACTATTCCTTTAAGTGGTTCAATCATTCTTCTGGGGGGATTCAGCTCCCATGTGGGAAACAACTGTGACACCCGGGGGCAACAAGTAAAGTATGTGAATGCAAATTATAGATTGTCCATAACAAAGACCATGTTCAGGGATAACGATGTCCTTTGGTGCACTTGTTACTACCACATCCTGTCATGATCATGACTCTGAGAGCTGGCCTAATTGCTCATCCCATTTACCTGCCTAACTCTGCCACATTCCCAATTACCACTCGTCTAATCCACCTGCTTCTGCTTCTTTATATACGGCTCAGTCCCAGCTATCGGGGCCAGATTAATGATGTTGAGGTTGTAATCATTGCTATTTCTTTAGTTCATGTTCTTGTTCTCGGCAGCCAGTGGTTAGAGAGGTTTTTCAGTGTTTCGTAGTGTTCCATGTTCTGTCTCTTATCCACTGAGTGTCCCGTCTTTCTGTCTTGGCTCAGTGGAGAGAGCAAGTTTTTAGCATTTCTTAGTGTTCCTTTTATCCTGACCTGTTCTGCCTCTCAACCACTGAGCTTGCCAGTTCGCATCTGAACTTTCTGGCTCGGACTCCTGCTTAACCTCCAGGACTGCAGCATCTGGTTAACTCTAGGCGGTGCCTGCAGCATCTAATTGGCACCCCGTCCAGCTGGATCCTACAGTGTTCCACGCCTTTGAATTATCCCACTTCCTGTCTCGCCTGAATACTGGGTTCTTCTGCCCTGCACATTTAACATATGTCTCTGTTCCAGCACACCTGGTTCAAATGAGAGCTCCTCCTTTGCAATCAGTGCTACAGAAGCCCGTTGAGCATCCATTCTTATCTGGTGTTATGCCAAAAGTAAACACCTGAAACATGCAGGAAGGGGTCCCTGAGGAGCAGGGTGGGTAACCACTGCACTAATGTCTGTGTTTTTTTTTTGTTTTTTTTTGTTAGTTATGCTGCTCTTAAATGACAAACAAGTTTTACTTTAAATTTCATTTTAAAATACTGTGGAGCTCGTAAACGTTGTTTCCTTAGTTTTATAAAACTAATACAAAAAAAATGACCAACAACAAAAGAATTAAAAAGGACACCGTTGGACAAAAACCCTAATTTTACTCCAATAATTCTTGTGTGGTTCCAGTGATGCGTCTGCTGGGCATTCCCTGCCGAGTCGTCACCAACTTCCAGTCGGCTCATGACACCAACAAGAACCTGACCATCGACAACTACTTTGATTACAATGGAGTCAGAGAGACGGGGACCAATGACAGCATCTGGTGAGACACGCTGTTCATTCTGTGTTTTAAAGATGCACAAACTTTGAAATCCAAGACAAGACAGTAAACGCCTCACAGATCAATTCAGTTTATTTCTATAGAGCCATTTCACAACACATCATTAAAAGGCACTTTACAAAGACAACAGTTCTTCACTGTTTGGTTTATCGTTTGGTGGTAGTCTGAATAATGTTGTTTTTCTTTAAGGAACTTCCACGTCTGGGTTGAGGGGTGGATGAGACGACCAGACCTGGCAGATGATGGGAAATATGACGGCTGGCAAGTTGTGGATCCAACTCCACAGGAAAGGAGTGACGGTATGAGAAGTCTTGCCTTCTGACTGGTTTTTAATTGATTTGCAAATCAGTCTCTTCAGGTTTCAAGCATCAGAGTTTTTTCTTTGAAGCATGCAGAGACACAACAGATGTTTAAAGAGGAAATGTATCTCTCCGCAGGTCTTTTCTGTTGCGGTCCAGCGTCAGTGGCGGCCATCCTGAATGGAGAAACAGATCTAAAATACGACGTCCCATTTGTCTTTTCTGAGGTCAACGCTGATGCTGTTTACTGGCTGGTCAGTGAGCACAGCATCAACTTCTTCCTAACCACGTCCTGCGATGTTTTTAACCAAAGAAAGATCCAGCACTCTAGATTAAATCAAGGGTTTTGTTTTGCTTTTCAGGTAAGAAAGAACGGATCCAAGTTAAAAATCTTTTCTGACACTGATACAGTTGGTCAATACATTTCCACCAAGTCTGTTGGCTCAAACAAGCGGATGGACATCACGAACACCTATAAGCACAGAGAAGGTGTGTGAACCTGAGCTTTAGACCTAAATCCTTGATGTTCATATTATAGTTAATGATCCCACTTTATGTATGCGGTGTAGCACAAAAATTACATGTCACAGCAAAGTCTATACCATGAAAACATTTAAATATTGACATTATGTGGTAAAAAAAAAGTCTTTTCATTCAGCTTTTGACCATTTTAATCTCCTACAGGAACTGCAAAGGAAAGAAATGTCTTCAGATATGCCTTAGACAAAATCCAAAATGGAGATATGCTGATTCGAAATGCTGCAGGCACTGATGGGGAGTTCGTGAGCAGAACATTGGAGAGGAGCCATGATGCTCCGGGAACTGACATCGTCGCAAGTTCAGCTCCACAGCCACAGCTGCTGATCCGATTTGAAGAAGTACGTTCTCAATGACAAGACCTTCTTCTCTTGCTAGTCTTAGACATTTTTCTGGCATCATCCTTTAAATCTAATTTTTAATTAGACGTTGCAGCAGCTGGCTGGTTTGACCTGCTGAGCACAGTTAAAATTACTTTAATCAGTGTCACATTAATTCAATTCAGTTCATTTATATAGCTCCAATTCACAACATATATCATCTCAAGGCGCTTTACAATTCAACCAGATCATACAGTCAAATTGATTAAGACTTTCTATCTAAGGAAAACCAGTTGATTGCATCGATCCCTCTCACCAAGCATGCTTGTAGTAACAGTGGAGAGGAAAAACTCCCTTTTAACAGCAAGAAACCTCCAGCAGAACCAGGCTCAGTGTGAGCGGCCATCTGCTGAGGCCCACTGGGGTTCAAGGAGACAGAAGCAGAGATAAAAAAAAGGCAACTGTCAACCAGCTCCACAGGTGGCCCCATAAAGGAAATACAGAGGCAGGCAGATGAGCTCTGAGACAGCTCTCATGTCAGAGGATGAAGAGAGAAGAGAGTACATCCAGTTAGTCAAAGTCAGAGAAACAGGACTACACAAAAAAAAACATGCCAAGCTCAAATATCTATTAGCAAAGGTGTTGATGGCAGCAGCACAGCTGATATTTCTCTCCAGGATGGAGTCACAGCCAAACAGGAATAGTCCAGACGAAGCTACTATGATAGAAAAAGCAGAGAGAGCAGAACGTTAGAGATCAAATTAACAAATTCAGCAGAATGGGGCAATAGAGATAAAATGAAGAATATTGATGAAAAAGGGCCCCTATGTCCTCCAGCAGTCTAAGCCTATAGCAGCAGAACTATAGAGATAGCTCAGGATAACCTGAGCCACTCTAACTAGAAGCTTTATCAAAAAGGAAAGTTTTAAGCCTAGCCTTAAAAGTAGACAGGGTGTCTGCCTCACGGACTAAAACTGGTAGTTGGTTCCACAGGAGAGGAGCCTGAGAACTAAAAGATCTGCCTCCCATTCTACTTTTAGAAATTCTAGGAACCACTAGTAAACCTGCAGATTGAGAGCGAAGTGCTCTGTTAGGAACATAAGGAACAATCAGATCTCTGATATAACATTAATATAATCTGTGTCCCAGTAACACAACAGCAACACCTGAGACGGCATTACAGGGATAGTTTGGAGTTCTTGAAATGGTGTCTGTCTGAAGTAGATTGCTCTTTATAGATCTAACAGTCAACCTCTGTAGGTCTTTGTTGTCTCCTGTCTGAAAAGCTGCAGCATTTCCATCAAAACCTGTCTTAGTAAACTTTAAGACCATTTGCTGATTTGCTGCATTAAAGTGTTTGGTGATTTGCAGTTAGGGCTATGCTGATGTAACTTGACAGCCAGATTCATTATCTGTAACCCCTTAGGTTTTGTTTGACACTTCATTAACCTGGTGTCAACTCCCAACTTATTTATTCAGGGAAAGGAGGGATGTTTTATCAGATTAGCCAAAGTGACACCTAGAGCCCGCCCACTAAAGTTTTGTTTTGGCCAATCACAGTAACAAACCAAATCGCAGCAGACCCCATGAGAAACCACAACAACTTGACAAACAAAAGAGTTAGCAGCAGCTACGCTACATCCTCCTGCGCTGCCATTTTAGTTTTCGTTCAGCTGTTAGCTCAGCCTCTCGAGCTGTACGTCCCTCGTGAAACCATAATACTGTGACATAAATGACGACCTGTTTTGGGTTGGTTCTCAAACAGTTGAAGTGGAACCGGGACATTATGGATTCTCGTATGTTTGTAAACTCAAAAATACGGCCAGAATGTAGCTAGCGGGCAGGGTGAATGTTGATGAGCAGAGGACAGTAAGCATTAGGGGTGGAACGTTTCATAAAATCCACGGTTCGGTTCGATTCACGGTTTCGTGGTCACGGTTTTCGGTTCGGTTCGGTTCGATTCTGTATATGTTGATTGTTACACCGAAATCCCATAAAAATTTATGAAATTAATGAAAAAATCCCCCAAAAAATAATGGATTGTAATTATTTTAAATGATCCACGGAAACCCTGGATCATTTCCGTATGTTTTCCTGCTTTGAATTTAATCATCTGGCGCATGCCCTCTACCATCTCCAAGGGACTCAGAGGGGAGCGGACGGGAGCCACAGTGGAAGCTGTAGGCTTTGCTTTGAGCAGCCGGTCTGGAGCGCAGCGGGGCGGAGCGGGGGTTGCTGACGGAGTATGAGGGATTTCGGGGCTAGCATGACATGTTGCTGTTAGCATAAACAAAACGTGTTGCACTGTTTTACCCTGACATGGAAAAGGTTTCTTTATGATCCCATTTCTTTCATTCTCCATGAAGGTGTCGAAGCCAGAGAATGGAAAGGATGTCAGTCTGAAGATGATTCTCAGCAATGACTCCAGTTTCACCAGAACTTTTTCCGTCAACATCAGCGTCCAAGCCATGAAGTACACCGGCCAGCCGGCTGGCAACATCCAGACTGAGGTCACGGAGCAGAAGATGCTGCCTGATAAAGGTCAGCGATTTTCTTAGTGAATCTGAAACTGAAATCTTACGACCCTAAAACCACCTTTGTTTTTTTTCTGTTTTTATTTCAGATCTGGTCATCCCTATTCTAGTCCCATTCTCAACCTATCACAAATACATGATCCAAAGTAAGACCATGGCTGTGTCAGCTGTTGTCACTGACCTACAAAATGAATATAATACATACTTAGCAGCACACAGAGTTGTGCTCGCAAACCCCCCCATCTCCATCACCGTAAGTACACAATAACTATCTGTATGCCCTTTTAAAACCACCTCTTCCCTCCCTCCTCATGAGTGGACCAGTCTCACTGCCACCTTAGTGTGAACACTTGCCCAAGAAGGAAAAACGTCTGCAATGACCTTAGACAAGAAGCAGACATGGCCAATCAGTCAGGGAAGATAATGATATTATATTACCCAACAGCTTACCACAAAGTTAGACCATAAACACCTGATGAGATTGAAAAAATATCTTGGACTCTACAGACCTTGGTTTGGATGGTCTGTTCATGTGCAGGAGTCTCCAGGGCAACAGCCTGCACTCTGGGTCCTTGAGCAAGCTCCCCGGGCACCGCACAGTGGCAGCCCACTGCTCTCCAAAGGGATAGGTTAAATGCAGAGGTGAATTTCTCCAGTGTGAGATTAAAGTGTGAGATAAAGTTCAATTATTATTATTATCAAAATCAGGTGGATTGATAAATCAGAAGGATTGTTAAATCAGGTGGATTGATAAATCAGAAGGATTGTTAAATTTGAAGGCTTGTTAAATCAGATGGATTGATAAATCAGGTGGATGGATAAATCAGGATTGTTAAATCAGAAGGATTGTTAAATCAGATGGATTGATAAATCAGGTGAATTGATAAATCAGATGGATTGTTAAATCAGAAGGATTGTTAAATCAGAAGGCTTGTTAAATCAGATGTATTGATAAATCGGAGGGATTGTTAAATCAGATGGATTGTTAAATCAGAGGATTGTTTAACCAGAAAGGTTGTTAAATCAGGTGGATTGATAAATCAGATGGATTGTTAAATCAGAAGGCTTGTTAAATCAGAAGGATTGTTAAACCAGAAGGATTGTTTAACCAGAAAGGTTGTTAAATCAGGTGGATTGATAAATCAGAAGGATTGTTAAATCAGAAGGCTTGTTAAATTAGAAGGATTGTTAAACCAGAAGGATTGTTAAATCGGGTGGATTGATAAATCAGAAGGATTGTTAAATCAGAAGGCTTGTTAAACCAGAAGGAAAGTTAAATCAGATGGATTGATAAATCAGAAGGATTGTTAAATCAGGTGAATTGATAAATCAGGTGAATTGATAAATCAGGTGGATTGTTAAATCAGAAGGATTGTTAAATCAGGTGAATTGATAAATCAGATGGATTGTTAAATCAGAAGGATTGTTAAATCAGAAGGATTGTTTAACCAGAAAGGTTGTTAAATCAGGTGGATTGATAAATCAGAGGGATTGTTAAATCAGAAGGCTTGTTAAATCAGAAGGATGGTTAAACCAGAAGGATTGTTAAATCAGGTGAATTGATAAATCAGAAGGATTGTTAATTCAGAAGGCTTGTTAAACCAGAAGGATTGTTAAATCAGATGGATTGATAAATCAGAAGGATTGTTAAATCAGGTGAATTGATAAATCAGATGGATTGTTAAATCGGGTGAATTGATAAATCAGGTGGATTGTTAAATCAGAAGGATTGTTAAATCAGGTGAATTGATAAATCAGATGGATTGTTAAATCAGGTGGATTGTTAAATCAGAAGGATTGTTAAATCAGGTGAATTTATAAATCAGAAGGATTACTTAATCAGATAGATTTTTAAATCATGTAGATTGTTCAATCAGGTGGATTGTTAAATCAGACAGATTGTTAAATCAGGTGGATTTTTAAATCAGGTGGATTTTTAAATCAGCTGGATTGTTCAATTGGATATATTAATAAATTAGATGGATTGTTAAATAAGGCTGATTGTTAAATCAAGTGGATTTTTAAATCAGGTGGATTGTTCAATCAGGCGAATAGATAAATCAGATGGATTATTTAACCAGATAGATTTTTAAATCATGTAGATTGTTAAATTCAATTCAATTCAGTTTATTTATATAGCGCCAAATTCACAACACATGTCATCTCAAGGCACTTTACAGTTTAACCAGATCATACAGTCAAATTGATACAAAGTTTTCTATCTAAGGAAAACCAGTTGATTGCATTGACTCATTGACTCAAATACAATCCCCCACACTAAGCATGCTTGTAGCGACAGTGGAGAGGAAAAACTCCCTTTTAACAGGAAGAAACCTCCAGCAGAACCAGGCTCAGTGTGAGCGGCCATCTGCTGAGGCCGACTGGGGTTCAAGGAGACAGAAGCAGAGATACAAAAAGCAGCTGTAAAAGGCGGCCCCGTCCAGGAAACACACAGCCAGGCAGACGAGCTCCAAGGCAGCTCCCATGCCAGAGGACGAAGAGAGCACATCCACTCAGTCACGGTCAGAGAAACAGGACCACACTGGAAAACAGGCCGATCTCCAACATCTATAAACAAGGGTGTTGATAGAAGCAGCACAGCTGATGTTTCTTTCCTGGATGACGTCACAGCCAAACAGGAACAGACGAGGCAAAGCTACTCTGAGGAAAAGCAGAGAGAGCAGAAGGTTAGAGATTGAACTAACAGATTCTGCAGAATAGGAGAACAGAGATAGAATGAAGCAGAATGATGAAATGGGGGTCCCTATGTCCTCCAAAAGTCTAAGCCTATAGCAGCATAACTATAGAGATAGCTCAGGATAACCTGAGCCACCCTAACTATAAGCTTTATCAAAAAGGAAAGTTTTAAGCCTAGCCTTAAAAGTAGACAGGGTGTCTGCCTCACGGACTAAAACTGGTAGTTGGTTCCACAGGAGAGGAGCCTGATAACTAAAAGATCTGCCTCCCATTCTACTTTTAGAAATTCTAGGAACCACTAGTAAACCTGCAGATTGAGAGCGAAGTGCTCTGTTAGGAACATAAGGAACAATCAGATCTCTGATATAAGATGGAGCTTGGCCATTTAAGGCTTTATATGTGAGAAGGAGGATTTTAAATTCTATTCTTGATTTAACAGGAAGCCAATGAAGAGAAGCCAGGATAGGCGAGATATGATCTCTCTTTTTCATTTTCATCAGAACTCTGGCTGCAGCATTTTGGATCAGCTGAAGGCTTTTAACTACAGTTTGTGGACTTCCTGATAGTAAAGAATTACAATAGTCCAGCCTTGAAGTAACAAATGCATGGACTAGTTTCTCAGCATCACCCCTGGACAGGATATTTCTAATTTTTGCAATGTTCCTCAGATGAAAGAAGGAAATTCTAGAAACCTCTTTGATCTGGGATTTAAATGACAGGTCCTGATCAAAAATAACACCAAGATTTTTTACTTTATTATCTGAAATCAGTTTAATCCCATCCAAATGAAGTGACTGGCTAATCAGCTTCTTTTTCAGAGACTCTGGTCCAAAGACTATAACTTCTGTTTTGTCTGCATTCAGGAGCAGAAAGTTAAGAGTCATCCAGGTTTTTATGTCTTCAAGACATGCCTGTAATTTATGTAATGGGTTAGCTTCATCTGGATTTATAGACAGATATAGCTGGGTATCATCAGTGGAAATTAATCCCATGCTGTCTAATAATTCTACCAATTGGGAGCATGTATAAAGTAAAGAGAATTGGTCCTAGCACTGATCCCTGTGGTACTCCACAGGTAACCTTTGAGCGTGTTGAAGATCTATCATTAACATGAACAAACTGAATTCGATCAGATAGATAAGATTTAAACCAGTCTAGTGCTGTTCCTTTAATTCCAACAAAATATTCAAGTCTTTCTAAAAGAATATTATGGTCAACTGTATCAAATGCAGCACTAAGATCCAACAGGACGAGCACAGATACAAGTCCATTATCTGAGGCCATGAGAATATCATTAGTGACTTTCACCAGAGCTGTTTCAGTGCTATGATGAGCTCTAAAGCCAGACTGAAACTCTTCAAAAAGTTCATTATGGTGGAAGTGATCGCAAACTTGTTTGGCAACTACTTTCTCAAGAATTTTGGATAAGAAAGGAAGATTGGATATAGGTCTATAATTGACCAAGTCATCTGGGTCAAGAGACGGTTTCTTAAGCAGAGGTTTAATTACTGCAACCTTAAAAGCTTTAGGTACATATCCCTGTAACAGAGATAGATTAATCACATCTAAAATGGAGGAGGAGATCAAAGGGAATACCTCCTTAAATAACCTGGTTGGAACTGGATCTAACATACAAGTTGAAGGCTTAGATGAAGACAATAATTTTGCTAATTCAGAGAGTTCAACTGGATCAAAGCAGTCTAAACCCGGTTCAGATTCCATGACTACCTCAGGTACAATCGCGGATAGAGGAGTGCTTATGATCTTATTTTTAATAAGATCAATCTTATTTATAAAGAATCCCATAAAATCATTGCTGCTAAGAGCAGGTGGAATGGACGGTTCAACAGAGCTATGGCTCTGGGTGAGTTTGGCAACTGTATTAAAAAGAAATCTAGGATTATTCTTATTCTCCTCTATTAATGAGGAGAAGTATGCTGCTCTTGATTTACAAAGAGTCCTCTTATACAGCAGTAAACCATTTTTCCAGACTAGGAAGGACTCTCGCAGGCCTGTGGAGCGATATTTTCTCTCCAGTTTCCTAGCATTTTGCTTCAAAGTACGCAGCTCTGCATTAAACCAAGGAGCAAGCTTTCTATTTTTAACGGTTTTCATTTTCAAAGGAGCTGCGTTGTCTAAGGCAATACGCAGAGAACTAGCAACCCCATCAACAAAATCATCAACCTGTGAAGGGGAATAAGCTAAGCTTTTGCACTCTGCAGCACTGCTCAGTGACACAGAGGAGAGAGAAAGTGAAGCAGATTCTTTAAAATTTATAACTGCACTATCTGATAAAGATCTACTAAAATTGAACCTTCTTTTGGGGGAGGAGAACTCTGTTAAAATAATCCTGAAGGTTATTGGAAAGTGGTCAGAGAGGACAGGGTTGTGAGGAAATACTGTTATTTCTTCACATTCTATGCCGTATGTCAGCACAAGATCCAAAGTATGAAGATGAGAATGCGTGGGACTATTCACATTTTGAACAAAGCCAATAGTGTCTAAGATAGCATTAAAGGCTGCTCTTAAGCTATCGCCTTCAATGTCAGCATGGATGTTAAAATCTCCCACTATGATGACCCTGTCAGTATTTAATACCAAATCAGAAAGGAACTCTGAAAACTCATCTAAAAATTCAGAGTAAGGACCTGGTGGACGATACAAAGTTACAAAAAGAAGAGGTTTTCTTGCCTTGAAATTTGGATCAGGGAAATTAAGGGTTAAATGTTCAAAAGAGTTGTAGGTATTAATTGTTTTGGGAGTAATCAGTAAGTCAGACTTGAAGATTGTTGCAACTCCTCCTCCTCGCCCAGAACTTCTGGGGATGTGAAAATTTAAATAGCTTGAAGGAGTTGCCTCATTTATGCTCACATAATCCTCTTGCTGCAGCCAGGTTTCTGTAAGGCAAAACAAGTCAATGTGATTATCACAAATCAAGTCATTAACTAGTAGACTTTTAGAGGAAAGCGATCTTATGTTAAACAGACCGCATTTAATTGTTTTAACTTTTTCCCCAATTGGAGTTATTTTGATTTTAATTAGATTGTCATGATTTACTCCTTTGGGAATCTTTGCTAATTTATTAGATTTTGGTCGTGGGCAAGACACTGTCTGGATGGAGTAAAGAGTGGGTAACAGTAGAGAAGCTGCAGAGATGTGTGTTAAACTACAACTCTGCTTCCTGGTCTGCACCCTGGGTGGTCAGGGTTTTGGAGGACTAATAAATGTGGCCAGATTCCTAGAAAGAAGAGCTGCACCATCCAAAGTGGGATGGATGCCGTCTCTCCGAATCAGACCAGGCTTTCCCCAAAAGGATTGCCAATTATTAATGTAGCCCACGTTGTTTTCAGGACACCACCTAGACAACCAGCGGTTGAATGACGACATGCGGCTAAACATGTCATCACTGGTCAGATCAGGGAGGGGACCAGAGAAGATTACGGAGTCCGACATTTTTTTGGCAAACTTACACACCGAAGCAACACTAATTTTAGTGACCTCCGATCGGCGTAACCGGGTGTCATTACCACCAGCGTGAATAACAATCTTACTGTATTTAACCTTATCCTTAGCCAGTAGTTTCAGGTAGGATTTGATGTCGCCCGTTCTGGCCCCCGGCAAACATTTGACTATGGTCCCTGGTGTCTCTAATGCCACGTTTCTGACTATGGAGCTGCCAATCACCAGAGTGGGCTTCTCAGTGGGTGTGTCACTGAGTGGGGAAAACCGGTTAGAAACGTGAACGGGTTGGTGGTGACCAGTGGGCAGAGATCCACGACTACGCTTTCTGCGTACAGTTACCCAATCGCCTGGCTGCTCAGGCACTTTTGGAGGACAGCTACGTGGGGGGCCTACTTTAACTCCTGGATGTTCAACAGCCTGAAGCCTGGATTCTAACTCTGACACCCTCGCCTCCAAAGCTACAAAAATACTACACTTATTACACATCCCATTATCACTAAAGGAGGCAGAGGAATAACTGAACATCTGACACAGAGAGCAGGAGAGAGGAGAGGAAGAATGAAGAGTTGGAAAAGAGTCAAGGGAGGGAGAGAGAGAAGCCATAGCAATGCTAAGCTAGCGCTAGCCTAGGCTAGCTACTCCTTGCTATCAGAAATAAAACCGTGTGAAACCAACAAGTGCTCAGTAGAAAAGTGCAGCAGAAGGTGCTATGTTTTAAAGTAGTCAGTTAGAGTTACTTAGATACAGAGATATCACAGAGAAAATAACTTAACCTCAGATGGAGATCCTCTGAACAGCTGCACACTCAGTTAATCCAAACAGGAAGTGAACAGCCAAGTAAATCAGGTGGACTGTTAAACAGATGGATTTTTAAATCAGGTGGATTTTTAAATCATGTGGATTGTTCAATCAGGTGGATTGTTAAATCAGATGGACTGTTAAATCAGATGGATTTTTAAATCAGGTGGATTTTTAAATCAGGTGGATTCTTAAATCAGAAGGATTGTTAAATCAGGTGGATTGTTAAATCAGATGGATTATTTAATCAGATAGATTTTTAAATCATGTAGATTGTTAAATCAGGTGGACTGTTTAATCAGATGGATTTTTAAATCCGGTGGATTGTTCAATCGGATAGATTAATAAATTAGATGGATTCTTAAATTAGATGGATTGTCAAATCAGAAGGATTGTTAAATCAGAAGGCTTGTTAAATCAGAAGGATTGTTAAATCAGAAGGCTTGTTAAATCAGAAGGATTGTTAAATCAGAAGGCTTGTTAAATCAGAAGGATTGATAAATCAGAAGGATTGTTAAATCAGGTGGATTGTTAAATCAGAAGGATTGTTAAATCAGGTGGATTGATAAATCAGAAGGATTGTTAAATCAGGTGGATTATTTAATCAGATAGATTTTTAAATCGTGTAGATTGTTCAATCAGGTGGATTGTTAAATCAGACAGATTGTTAAATCAGGTGGATTGATAAATCAGATGGATTTTTAAATCAGGTGGATTATTTAATCAGATAGATTTTTAAATCGTGTAGATTGTTCAATCAGGTGGATTGTTAAATCAGACCGATTGTTAAATCAGGTGGATTGATAAATCAGATGGATTTTTAAATCAGGTGGATTGTTCAATCAGATAGATTAATAAATCAGATGGATTCTTAAATTAGATGGATTGTTAAATAAGGCTGATTGTTAAATCAAGTGGATTTTTAAATCAGGTGGATTGTTCAATCAGATAGATTCATAAATTTGATGGATTCCTAAATCAGATGGATTGTTATATTGGATGGTTTGTTAAACCAGAGGGTTTGTTAGATCAGATAATTTGTTAAATAACGTGGATCTAAAGCTGTGAGGGAACCTAAGAAGTAAGGCATGGAGAAATGATCGCTCAGTGATCTGAATAAACAGTAAATAACAAAAAAGCCACACAGTAAACAGCAACTGAGACCCATTGCTGCTAAAAGCTTTTTATCTGTTTCAATTTCTAAATTGTTAAAAGAAAAAAAAAATGTTTTCCTGTGGTGTTTTGTTGTTTTATTTAGATTCGTTAGTATTCGTCTTTAAGCTGAAAACCTGTTTGACCTCCAGGTATCTGGTGAGAGCAGGGTGAACGAGGAGATGACAGCCGAGATGGTCTTCATGAACCCTGTCAATGAGACGCTGAGAAACTGCTGCCTGAGTCTCTCTGGAAGTGGTCTCATTATCGGGGAGGAAACAGTAAAGTGAGTAGATCTGTGTCGGTCATTAAACGTTACTGTATCTTCACAGCTGATTGTTCAGGAAAATAATCTCAGCGGCTGTATCAACATGGTGAAAGTGAAAAAAAAACTCCTTATATTTCTGACTTATATTAGTCATGATCAAATCCAGAACTCAATTCCATTAAGGACAGACTCAAAGTTTAGTCTGTTAAAGATCAACCCATAATAGCTGCTGCCTTGCAGTCATGTTTCACACACCCAGCCGCCTGTTGGACAGGTTCTCTATAGAGTCTGAGGTCAGACGGGAAAGGTTTATGGTGACCAACTCAAATGTGCTTCTTGCAGACTCCCAGACCTGCTGCCAAACAACAGAGTCTGTGTTCAGATCGTCATAGCTCCCTATAAGAGCGGAGAGCGCACTCTATTGGTCAACTTCAGCAGTGCCTCTTTAGGGGACATCAAGACCAGCTGCATCGTCAACATCAAGCCTTGACTTTATCCCATTTCTTATCTTTAGGACCAAATGTTAGATTCTAATATAGAACTCATTAATATTTGTTTCGGTCATGCGGGATATTGTCTATTATTTAAAAGATTGCTGATTTTTTTTTTTCTTATCTGGAAGTTATTTAATTTTCAACTTTGTTCTTTTTTTTTTATAATTTTGATTATTGATATTTGGGAAGTTCCAAACAATTGCATTTTTACTGAGGGAAGGAAGATCAACAGAGAGGCTATCCGTGAACTAGAGGAGGTTTTTCTGCATGTATTATGCTTCTCAGGGATATTCCCTTTTAAATGGACGTCTATTACTGCTTAATAAATTTGTCAAACAAGCAAACATCTGTTGTCTGTTGAGTCCTTTCATTGCTTTCAGCTTCATAGATATTTTCTTGTGAAATTGCCAGCCTTTTGTCTAACTAATATAACTGGAATCCATTCAGGATCAATTGTATTCATAACCTTCTTCCATATGTTATTAGATTCAGATTAAGGTGCAGCTCTTTTATCTGTTGAGATCAGTTTTATCCCTCTTCTCTCTAACTGATTCAGGACATTCACACTATAAATAATATGCCGCATCTGTCCTCTGACAAAACCGACGAGATTTAAGTAATTCTTCACCAATGTGTCAAGGTGAGATTATTGAAGACATATAAAAAAATGTAGATGATAAAGAATTAATAAGATTAAAAATGTATAAAATGCCTTAACTCTCCTCTGCTAAGACTATATCTACTGTATTCAAAAACAACTGTTTAAGTTGTTTGTTAGATAGGCTTAAGTACACTGCAAAACTTAATGTAAGTTAGTAATGTTTTCTTGAAATTGATGTATTTTCCTTGATTTTACTAATAAAGCCCTTGAGCCCAGTTGGCCCAGTACAGGGCCCAACTAACACCTGCTCATGTTTATCTATTTATAGAAATAAGAAATATGGAAACGCCTTTCAAATGGGCTTTTCCAGTTGGGTTTAATTTCAATTTGCTGTGTTTATTATACAAAAAAATTTGGCAAGGCTTAATATTTCTCATTATTGCTTTGTTTAAACATCTAGAAATCAGACTTGACATTTAAAATAGTGGTTCCACCTGAAAAATAATCCTCAATGCCTTTCTGTCATACAAAAACAAATAATTGTATTTCTAATTTATATTTTGGGACCTGTACTTTCTTTAATTCAGATAGGTAATTTCAAGTATGGAGGACCGATCCTACCATAATTGAAATACGTACAGAAATAAATGAAGGTCTTAATAATATCAAATTGCTTGAAAAAGTAGCTAATAACATGAATTTCTGTGTGGCATTAAATGTGACAAAATAATAAAAAGATATTCTTTCAACAATTGATCAATTATTCATCAAAACATATATATTTGAACTTACACTTTTAATTTTCCTTTTGTTCTTGCTTTTATGCAGACTTATTTTTCACCCACCTCTTTTCTGTTATAAATCTTTATTGAAATCTGTATTTTGTCTTTATGTATTTATTACAAGTGGGTTTTTTTGGTCCATACTGGTTTAAGTTTTAAGTTGGTTTAAGGTCTAAGTAAAACAATTTGCAGATTTAATAAGGGGATTTATGTTTAAAATAAGAAAAATTTCATTATTCTATTTCCATATGCTCTGGACTTCCGAAGCAATTTATTTTGCAATGTTTTTTTTCTCCCACACTGTTTACATTTGATCTCTTCTGCAATTTATGGAATGTAAATGTTCATTTGCTGCAAATCTGCTGCTGTACAAAACACAGTTTTGCTTTGTGTACACTCTGTGTGTACAAAATTACAATAAAAGTTGTCTAAGTTCAAGAGCATAATTTTGGGTAGTTACGATATATTAATGGCCACCAGTGTAGGATGATAATATGTTATTTAATCATATAATATTCAGACTGTCTCATATTGTTTGTGAACACATGTCCTACTGGCTGTTCAGTTCAGTTTATTTATATATCGCCAACTAACTCACTACACATGTCAACTCAAGGTACTTTACAGCTGTGTGTTAGAACAACAATAGAAACTGTCAATGGAGCTCAAATCAGAGTCAAACAGATAATTCTGCACATATATGGAATAAATTCACCACAACTTCCATTAAAAATATAAACATTTATTAACAAAAATCATTCAAAACTGACACTAGTAAACCTCAACTAAACTAAGCTACTCTTTTGAAACAAGAAGGAAAATATGGTTGAACCATAATTAATGAGATGATGCTGTTATATCACAGTTTAGCGTGGATTTATGTCTGAGAACCAAAATTGGAAGAATTTAGCAGCAGATGGCAGCTCACACTGAGTCTGGTCAGCAAAAAGTAGTTTATTCAAGTATACTAAAAGTGCACTAATTTCATACTTAAAATCAGGCTGTGCACTTAGAGTTTACTTAATCTAAACAATATTTCACATAGACTCACCGGCCACTTTATTAGGCACACCTGTCCAACTGCTCGTTAACACTTAATTTCTAAGCAGCCAATCACATGGCGGCAACTCAGTGCATTTAGGCATGTAGACATGGTCAAGACAATCTCCTGCAGTTCAAAGCGAGCATCAGTATGGGGAAGAAAGGTGATTTGAGTGACTTTGAACGTGGCATGATTTTTGGTGCCAGAAGGGCTGGTCTGAGTATTTCAGAAACTGCTGATCTACTGGGATTTTCACGCACAACCATCTCTAGGGTTTACAGAGAATGGTCCGAAAAAGAAAAAACATCCAGTGAGCGGCAGTTCTGTGGGCGGAAATGCCTTGTTGATGCCAGAGGTCAGAGGAGAACGGCCAGACTGGTTGGAGCTGATAGAAGGGCAACAGTGACTCAAATAACCACCCGTTACAACCAAGGTGGGCAGAAGAGCATCTCTGAACGCACAGTACGTGGAACTTTGAGGCAGATGGGCTACAGCAGCAGAAGACCACACCGGGTGCCACTCCTTTCAGCTAAGAACAGGAAACTGAGGCTGCAATTTGCACAAGCTCATGGAAATTGGACAATAGAAGATTGGAAAAACGTTGCCTGGTCTGATGAGTCTCGATTTCTGCTGCGACATTCGGATGGTAGGGTCAGAATTTGGCGTCTACAACATGAAAGCATGGATCCATCCTGCCTTGTATCAACAGTTCAGGCTGGTGGTTGTGGTGTCATGGTGTGGGGAATATTTTCTTGGCACTCTTTGGGCCCCTTGGTACCAATTGAGCATCGTTGCAACGCCACAGCCTACCTGAGTATTGTTGCTGACCATGTCCATCCCTTTATGACCACAATGTACCCAACTTCTGATGGCTACTTTCAGCAGGATAATGCGCCATGTCATAAAGCTGGAATCATCTCAGACTGGTTTCTTGAACATGACAATGAGTTCACTGTACTCAAATGGCCTCCACAGTCACCAGATCTCAATCCAATAGAGCATCTTTGGGATGTGGTGGAACGGGAGATTCGCATCATGGATGTGCAGCCGACAAATCTGCGGCAACTGTGTGATGCCATCATGTCAATATGGACCAAACTCCCTGAGGAATGCTTCCAGCACCTTGTTGAATCTATGCCACCAAGAATTGAGGCAGTTCTGAAGGAAAAAGGGGGTCCAACCCGTTACTAGCATGGGGTACCTAATAAAGTGGCCGGTGAGTGTATTTTAACAGTAGTATAGTCAAGTGTTCTTCACTATATTATTGTTTACTTTATTGTTCACTGAAAATGTCCCAATTTAGTTCAAAGAAGGATTATTTTGGCAATACTTCAAGTACATTAAAAGTACATTGTTCGGTATACTTTCTAAACTTATACTCATACTTAAGTATTCTTATTAAAATTTACTTCAAGTATACTACTTTTTGCTAAGGGATCTGATGGAGGTTTCCTCTTGTTCAAGAGAGTTTTTCCTCTCTACTGTCGCTACAAGCCTGCTTGGTGTGAGGGACTGCAGCAGAGTCAGTAAGTCGATGCAATCAACTGGATTTCTTTAGATAGAAAACTTTTAACCAATCTGACTCTTTTACCCCAGCAAGCACATATAAGTCCCATTCTTCATTGGATCAAATGAAGGCTTTTAGCTACAGTTTGTGGACTTCCTGATAGTAAAGAATTACAATAGTCCAGCCTTGAAGTAACAAATGCATGGACTAGTTTCTCAGCATCACCCCTGGACAGGAGATTTCTCATTTTTGCAATATTCCTCAGATGAAAGAAGGAAATTCTAGAAACCTCTTTGATCTGGGATTTAAATGAAAGGTCCAGGTCAAAAATAACACCAAGATTTTTTATTTTTTTATTTTCTGAAATCAGTTTAATCCTATCCAGATGAAATGACTGACTATTTACATCTTATCCTCAATTAAAACATGTCTTATACAATTTTAGATTTGTTATTTGATTTGTGTTTTGTTTAATTGTCAATAAAGTTTTTTTTTTCTACAAGGAAAGGCATTTCCTTGAAATAGAAACAGACCAACTGCTGCGCTCTGTCTACTGATACGTTCAAGGACAACCAGAAATAGGACTTATCAGCGTTGACGCATCAGACTTAGACAACTTCTAGAATTTATATTTTTTATTATAACTTCAGCTATGTTTATAATTTGGTTTTGTACAGCTTTCAGAAAATTTCCATTCCATAAATGCAGCAGTGAAATGTAAACAGTATGGGAGAAAAGACATGGTGCAAAATTCCATTTGTGATTTATCGATTATTGAAATAATCATGAACTCGATTAATGGTTAAGTGGATAATAAACTCTAAAAAATGCCTTTAGCTGACAGAGTGACCCACTTAGAGCAGTAATTACATCAAAATTGTAAGAATAAATAGAAGAAATATTTTTTTGCATTTAATATTAAAATAAGTTTTCATCTGTCAATATGCTTTGTACTATCCAGAACTGCTCAAGTAGGAAGTAGAAAAGTTTTAATAACCTAAAGGTTTTTTAAAGAAGATTTTGTACGAATTTAAAACAGATGAAGCTAAAAGTTTTACACATTTATATACATAATATCTGAAGTCCACACATTGGGTTTCCTACACTCAGCACGGTCCCTGAACGCAGCGTTTAAGTGAAATGAAAGCGATCCCCCCGCCCAGCTGAGAAGTTAGAGAAGCGGCGAGGCGTTTGGTGCATGGCGCGTGTTTTGAAGCTGCTCTGCTTGTGGAGAAATGTCCTGGGCCGTGAGTAGTGAGGAAACAGGAAGCGATTCTTGTGGGATGGAAGAGGGAAATAGTGACAATGAAGGTTGGAAGATAGCAGCATCAAAAAATGAGAAAAAGCGGAAAAAACAGAGATCAGTTAAAGGGGAATCTAGTTCAGAACAATCCAGTGATGATCAATCCATACATTCCACAGCACAACAAAATGAATTCAAAGTCATATTCAAAGTCGTTAATCAGGCAGACTCTTTTACAAACTGGAATCCGGTTCACTTAACAAAAACCATCAATAAACTTGTTGGAGAAGTCAGAGGTGCCAGAATTCTGTACAGTGGAGACCTGCTAATTAACTGCAGAGACAGCGCCCAGCAAGGCAAAGCAATACGTATTAACAAAATTGACGGGATAAGAGTTCAGTGCAGCCTAATGGAGAACAAAAAGATCAGCAGGGGAGTCATTGGAGGAGTTCCTCTGAAAATTTCTGAAAAAGAGATTCTGGAAAACATAAGCGGTGCAAAAGTAAAAGAAGTAAAACGGTTAAAAACAACAAGAAACGGAGAAAGATCTGACAGTTTATCTGTACTAATTAAATTCGAGGAAGAGCAATTACCAAGCAAAGTATTCATCGGTTACATCAGTTACAATGTCAAAATCTACAATCCACCACCATTGAGATGTTTCAAATGTCAAAAATTCGGACACATTGCAGCAGTTTGTAAAGGGAAACAGAGGTGTGGAAGGTGTGCAGGAGAACATGAATATGGTAAATGTGGAAAAGAAGCTAAAATAAAATGCTGTAATTGTGGTGGAGAACATACTGCTGCTTATCGCGGCTGTGAAGCAAGCAAAAGGTCTGAAGAAATAAAAAAAATGAAATTTGAGCTTGGAATAACTTATGCTGAAGCTGCAAAAAGGATCCCATCTCAGTCAGAAAAACCCAAACCTACAGTTCAACACACGGCAAATTTCAAACCTCTAGAGAAATCTCCAAAAATTGATGAAGACTCACTAATTGTTAAAAAGACAAATTTTGTTCTTTTCATGGTGGAAGTGATTAATTGTACTGCTCAGACGACAAAAAAAAACAGAAAAAATCAAAATAATAGTGAAGGCTGCAGAAAAATATCTGGATGTTAAAGATATGAACTGGGAGATGGTTGGAAGCATGATGGAAAGACCAATGGGACCATCAGAAACTGGCAGAGGTACGATGACCTAGAGTAAATTAAAATTATACGGGCAAATGTAATTTAGTATAATTTAGTATTATGTGGGTTTAAGTTACACAGGTTATTTTATTGTATTTTTTTTTTTTTTTTTTTTTTTTTTTTTTTTTTTTTTGGGGGGGTGAATCGTTTCCTGTTTCCTTGCTTTACTCCATATCAGTTGGTGGCGGTAATGCACATTTCACAAGTTTGCCAACCGCCATAAAATCTCATAAGAAGAAGAAGAAGCTGAGAAGTTACTGGAGCCAACCGGACCCGGCATCTCCCTCACAGCGGCTCCGCTCAGACCGAAGACAGCCTGGTGTCCATCAGCCGGCCGGCCGCTCAGAGGAATGTAGATGTTTGCTGGTAGAACTGGTTGAGACCGGAACTGACAGCTGTCAACCAAACTGCGCAGTTCTGGAGAAAAGCAGTGGTAAGATGTGCTAACATTAGCACAGCTAGCTTAGCAGCAGCTAGGGGGTTAGCTTTAAATAGAGCCCTTAAAACACCGAAAGAGTCTCAAGAAATACACACATACTTATGATACACTGTCATTTCTGTGACGTAGATTTAATTATTTGGAGTAAATAGAGAATTTGTTTTAGTTAACGTTAGCCACTGCTAAGTTGTATTTAGCTATCCTTAGCTTCTCTTTAGTAGAGAGAGCTGCAGTCTCTCATGTAAGGTTTGTAGAGATGTTGCTTGAGCTTTTACCAAAGTTAGTTTCTAACCGACCTCCTGTTAGTAAGGACTTTGGGTTGCTGCCATATCTAGACAGATAGATCTAGTTTACAGACAGAAATATGTTATCAGTTTAGTCCAAAGTAATATTTAAGTAATGAGACAAGGTGGAGGATAAACCTGTTTCATCCACTGATCTCTATTTATTCACTGGAAATCCCGAAAGAAGTGAAGCCACCGGTCGCCATATTGGTACTCCCCACGCCTATGGAGACCCGTAGTAAAATGGCCATATTTGTAGCATTTGACTGCAAAAACAAACAGTCAGCTGGCTGTGGGAAGATGGTCCACAGACTATTTACAGACAGTGGATTTACTGACCAAGAAAATCATTTTATAGGCCGATGTCTCCTATAGTATAATGTGGAGCGCAACATTAGTCTGACTGTCTCTGACTGACTGGAAGACATTGAGTCAGCCATCGACATCGTGTCTAACGTTAAAAGATAGAGTAAATACAAAGTAATTCACTATGAAATGTAAATGTAGTAATTCTTTATTAAGTGGATGACGCTCTAGTTCCTGTAGTTAGTTATATTGTGATGGATTTGTATAATATGTTATATTACATGATTTATAGACTTCATTGGCTTCATAATGACTATGCAAAATGATGTGCCTATATATTAATTATAAGTTAAAGTAATCTACTGATGCTATGAAACAGCCAGTCTGTGTCAAAGTGATGAATTTATCTTTATTTTAAAAGTCTTAAGCCCCCCTGAAAATGGGAACATCATCGTTGTTCGATGCTGTAGCGCACATATCGTTTACATTAAGACTGGTCCAACTAGGGAGTACAAATATGGCGGCCGGTGGCTTCACTTCAACCCTGTAGAGATCATTGGTTTCATCATTAAGCCACCAGCTAAGAGTATCCAACAACACTCTTTACTTTTGATCCTCCTAATCTGGAGGATCTTCTGAGCATAAAGTATCTGGATTAATAAATTAATCCCGCTGGATCCTGGCAGAAGGGGGGGCTTGCAGAGGGACACATCTGGATCATTTTCTCTGCTAAATAGGCCTGATGACTTTATTCCATCAGTTAGAAGCCAGATAGTTAGATTTTCTGTTTTGTTCTCTAACAGGTTTAGGAAACAGAAATGCCTCAGAAGCAGAAGCCCAAGTCGTGGACGGATTTAAAGCAAGCAGGAAACGAGTGTTTCAAGACGGGCCAATATGGAGACGCCACCGCTCTTTACAGCCAGGCCATCAAAGAACTGGACAAGTCCAGTGAGTATTAGTATGGCGGGTCTGAGGGGCTGACAGGGAATTGGTGGGACAAAGGTTTAATCCTTGTGCCTCGCCGTTCTGTATTATTCCCGAGGAGAGATTGTTGCGAAGAGATTGAACTAACAGATTCTGCAGAGTGGGAGAATAGAGATAGAATGAAGCAGAATGATGAAAAAGGGGTCCCTATGTCCTCCAGCAGTCTAAGCCTATAGCAGCAGAACTATAGAGATAGCTCAGGATAACCTGAGCCACTCTAACTAGAAGCTTTATCAAAAAGGAAAGTTTTAAGCCTAGACTTAAAAGTAGACAGGGTGTCTGCCTCACGGACTAAAACTGGTAGTTGGTTCCACAGGAGAGGAGCCTGATAACTAAAAGATCTGCCTCCCATTCTACTTTTAGAAATTCTAGGAACCACTAGTAAACCTGCAGATTGAGAGCGAAGTGCTCTGTTAGGAACATAAGGAACAATCAGATCTCTGATATCAGATGGAGCTTGGCCATTTAAGGCTTTATATGTGAGAAGGAGGATTTTAAATTCTATTCTTGATTTAACAGGAAGCCAATGAAGAGAAGCCAGGATAGGCGAGATATGATCTCTCTTTTTCATTTTCATCAGAACTCTGGCTGCAGCATTTTGGATCAGCTGAAGGCTTTTAACTACAGTTTGTGGACTACCTGATAGTAAAGAATTACAATGGTAATTACAATATCTTGTAATAAACTATACAAAGGTCATAGTTGTTGCAGCGATACTTTCCAAGTCATGAGTGGTAGCGTCTACTTGGTCTGTGCGGACTGACTGTCCTGCTGCATTCTGGAACAAACCAAGAGAAACGGGAAGATTGACAGGAATCCAAACTGGTTGGTCAGAGGTTCTGATCCATGGCGAAGCTGCAGTAGATCATTGCTGCGGCACTAACTGAGTAGATAGACTCCTAGGTTTGAGTTAGCCTGGCTGTTAGCCTGCCAGCTGTACGGAGTTAATTACCATGGTAACTGATGTGTATCTGCTTTCTAAAACTAAATCCTGTTTTCATCAGGAGTCGGCGGCCTAGTGGTTAGGACAGGGGTTACCAATTTAAAAAAAAGAAAAAAAAGTAGAATTTTTTTTCCATATTAAAATCTAAAGGGTTTTTTGAAGTAGAGAACAAGAATTGTTCAGTTCAGTACATAGACATTATCCTGATTCACATTATTATTTTTCTTTCTTTTTTCTGTCTTAATGAGAGCAGTGGGCTTTAGGCTGCCCTGCAAGGCTTTAAACCTGGGTTTAACCAGAGACTAAGCCATTCTCAAGCACATATCAAGGAGCTCATTTTGAGCCTGGATCCAGATTTATTGTTGATTCTGTTCATGGTGGAGAATCCTGCTTCACAGCAGCAGGTTGAGCCAAACATCCTCTAAATGTGCAGGGTCATCTTTGAGCACGCCATTTCACTTTTCTTTCACCAGTTCACCGCAGTTCTTCCAGCAGTCCACACTTTCTCTGCTCTCTTTTTCTCATGGTCTTCTCCTTCTTTCCCATCGCCCGGCTTGCCACAGCTTTGCCTGCTGTGTCTAAAAGTAGCAGCAGCAGCAACCCAGACTGACAGCTTATTGGCTCATTTGGATCACGTGCAGCCTGGAGCCGGACGCTCTCAAGGGCTTTACCGTATTAACAGGAGAAGCGGGGCAACTGAATTTAGACACTCTTGTCGGACAATATGCAGTCATTTATAAAATGTTTTGAATGAAGTTGGGTCCGATTTAGCCAGCAGGTGGGTCTGGATCCGGACAGCGGTCCGCTAATCTGGGTTGGGGCGTATATTCGAGCCCCACTCCCACACACTGTCACTCTGGGTCTCTGAACAACACCCTTAACCCCACACTGCTCCCCGGGCAGCACACAATGGCAGCCCACTGCTCCCCAAGGAGATGGGTTAAATGCAGAGAGTGAATTTCCTTCAATGTGAGATCAATAAAGTTTTATTATTATTATTATGAAATGGACTCTGGTGTTTTCTGGCTTCCTGTCGGCAGAACATGGCGCCTGAAGCTGATTTTTTTCCCCTGTTCTTTGCCAGGTAAAAAGAACCCCGAGGATTTAGCCATCCTGTACTCCAACCGCGCTGCCAGCTACCTGAAGGATGGGAACTGTGCAGAATGTGTGAAGGACTGTGAAACGTAAATTCCTGGTTTTTAAACTTTTCTTTATTTGTTTCTAAAGAAGTTATTCTCATGATGATTTTTGAGTTTATTCCAAAGCATCTCTGTGCTAACGCTTTCAAAAACCAAGCTGGAAGGGTTCACTGCAGCCTGAATGTCTCCTCAGGTCTCTGGAGTTGTCTCCGTTCAATGTGAAGTCTCTGCTCCGACGCGCTGCTGCCTACGAAGCTCTGGAGCGCTACCGACACGCTTACATCGACTACAAAACCGCGCTGCAAGTTGACTGCAACATCGCAGCCGCTCACGACGGCACCAACAGGTTGGTAAGAGCACCGCTTCCCATCAGTCTGAGCTCTCCTTAAACACCAGAGCTAACCAAGCTAACCGCTCTAAGCTCTAATCCAGAGGCTGAATGTTTCCTCATCTTTACCACACCTGCAGGATTCTAGACCTGCTGGTCCAAACTGGTCTGTTACTAGGGGTGTAAATCACATCCATCATGGCGATTCGATTCAGTATCGATTTCCTGATCCAACGATTCGATTATTTTCGATACTCAAGAATACACCACGATTCGATTAATCGGTTAATTTTTTTTTTTATTATTATTTTTTTTACACCTTACAGGCTAAACAAAGTTTCAAGTTTGAAATACATCAATGAAAGCTGTAATATCATTATGCATTTTCTTTAGAAACAACAGCAAATAACAGAAGTAGAAAAGTTGCATCAAAAAATACTGCAAAAATACTGCACAATATCAGTGTAATGAGTTCAATGCAATACCTCGGCTCCAGAGAAACTGTCCAACATATTTTTTTAGAATGTAATACATATCACTGATTCTTGAAACTTTGGCAAAAACATGTCCCACTAAGAAAAGTGCTAATTCTGTTGGAAAGAAATAAAATTTTCATGAATAAAAACAATCAAGGTTATAATCAGGGGGTCCTTTGCACAAATGCAAGGTTCTTTTAAAGTTTTTTTATTTTATTGTTAATTTAATGATTATATGCTGGCCCATTGCCTATAAAATCAGTTGTCCTTGGATAGGAGATAATCATTTCAACTTGATTAAAAAAACAAAAAGTAATAATTGAATTGAATAATATCTTTACCAAATGAAAGGGTACATTTTAATATGTATTTAAAACTACAAACAGTGAGTTTTGAACAATAATAACCATTATTTTGTGATTGCTCAAAATGTGTCCCACATATTTGTCACCACCGTCAGATATTTATAAAAAGCAATAAAATCAGGCAACTAAAAGGTCAACTACATGCCTGAGGACCCCATTTTCAAATCTTCAGCTCTACTGGATGCCTTAAGGTCACTCAAGCTCCTGTAGGTTTGCTATTTTCTCTTAAACTTGTTCATATTTTTGGACACTGCTAATGTCACAACCATAACATGTCAACACCGTCTCTTTTGTATAAAAAATATTAGATTAGATTATGACATAAATGTTTACTTTTTAAGAAGAGGTCTAAAGTAGCTAGCAACAGAGGGGAAACAACATGGCTAATGTGAACAACTCATGCATATCATGTGAAAGAGTAGGATTTTGTCACCACCGTCATATTTTCTGTCTGACGGTGGTGACGCACAGTCTGACGGTGGTGACAAAAAACTACAAATGGTTCTCAATGGAGGCTAGAAAATAATTGTTGATCTGTAATGTTTCATTAACCTCTTTTATATTTTTATTTATGTAATTCCGCCTAGATTTCTTACATATTGTATAACCCTAGGGGATGGGGTGTGCCTTCCCTGTCTCTCAATTCACTATTATGCCATGTTCATTTGGTTTACATCATTTGGGATGCACATAGTGCACCTACTACCTACCTACATAGCACATAGTATACAATATTCCTTGTAAGCTATGGCAGGGCAACATTTAACCAAATCTAACATTTACTGTAATTCCCCCCAATTTCATAGTCATTACACTCAACTTTGACTTTATGTATTTTAGGAAGTTATGGCTAGGAAGCAGCTATCTGTGAAGGAAAGAAGGAAAAGAAACAGGGAATATCAAAAGAAGTGTGAAGGCCTACTGACAAAAAACCTACATATATTCAAGCAATTACTCAGAAGGTTCAAAATTTCTACCATAATGCAGCACGAATGACAACTGACAAACAGGACACAATCACACGCAAGAAAATAAAGCATCAGAGAATGATTCTGACTGATAATGATATTTCTTAATTGTACCTTATATTCCTTGAAAAATATTTGTCACAGTGCTCATGATTGTTATTTTTTGGACCAAATAGTTAAATAAAGTTAATAAGCAAGAAACCATTGACTTGAATTGTATACAGTTTGGAATTGTATGTTGAAATGAGGCCACTGTCACCACCGTCAGTTCTAAAGTCACCACCGTCAGAGGGCTTTTTATTCGTTTTAAATGAATATGCTTGCAATATGTTTCTTCAGTGCTGTTCTCTCATTAAAGTAATGGTCTCTTTTAATACAAAAATATGTTTGTTAAATAAAAAAACATGACTTTTTCTATTTAGGCTTAAAGTAAACGTTATCTGATGTTAGATATTTTAAAGGACTACATGTGAAACAGTTAAAAAAAATTAACAAAAATTAATATTCAACATTTAACAGCATAAATGTGTGCTAACAATGCCAGATAAAGATTTAAAAACTCTAAATACTTATTAGACCAAATAAATAAAAAATAATTAGCTTTTTATTGTGTCTGATGGTGTTGACAAAAACAAAGTAATAACTGGAAAAATGCCTATTTTATGAAAGAAATACAAAATGAGGAGGTTGCACCTGTACACTGCTGAACAGCCAAGACCTTGGTCTATAACAATATACCTTCAGATTTTGTAATCCAACTAACTTTTTATTTTCAAAATTAAAACCTGTTTTATCCAAATTCCCAAGAATCAGTGATATACTCAGGAAAGAGAGATGTTGCTTAGAGAGTTAGACAGGAATAAAAATAAACTAGATATAAGGGAATTGTTTCAAAGGTCATCTGGGGATGTAGTTTTTGGGAGTATTTTAAATTTTCTAAGAAGAACGGGTATTTTAGGGAGAATATAATAGTTTGTCTGGTCCAAACTCCACTCTGGAAGGTGGCGGTAATGCACCTATAAGTTGTTTGCCAACCGCCATTAAAAAAAAAGAAGAAGAAGAAGGCTCCAGAGTGTCGACGTCACCGCCCCCTTGAGAGACGCTCCGCTGCTCCTCTCCCAGATTGTAGCTGACCGCAAACAGTGCCGCAGACAGGAGGCCGGCTTGTTTTGTTTTTATGACCGAAATTGCGGAAAACAACTCGTGAAGTTTGACCCGCTAGAAGAGCGAGGTGCGCGAGAACGCTGAGACCCTTTTTCCAGCTGAATCTCCGCTCTTTTTGGCCCTCATGTCCCTCCGTCGTCGGACTAAACTCGCCCCCACTTCCTCGCCACCTCGGCCGTATCTAGACCCACAGACCACGCTTCAATACTGAGTATAATTTAAAAATGTCTGCATCAAGCTCACTGCAACACACTGCTGTAAGAGTATAACCAGGAAGCGAGGTAGGAGGGCAAAATAGGTTTGGCGCCACCGCAGCACGGGAGGGAGAATTACGCCCAGGAGCAAATGGATAAAAATAGACCAGAGGAAAAAAAAAACATGAATCGATTATCTTGCGGACGTGTCGATGCATCGGATCGTCGGCTGTTGGATCGATGCATCGATACAAAACGATTATTATTTACACCCCTATCTGTTACCAGAACCAGAACACAGACTGGTTCATTTATAGACAGTGCAGTGCTGCCAATGGCCTTCAGGGGGCGCTGAACCTGGAGGTAACAGGTCTAGCGCCCCCTAGTGCCTGAAATTTGTTCGATCTTTTGCTCAGAATGACTAAAGCCCTGACGGAGGCAGACGGCCCGTCATGGAGGGAGAAGCTTCCTCCCATCCCCACGGTGCCGCTGTCGGTGAGGGAGAAGCTGGCCCAGCAAGCTGCAGCCAACCAGGCTCAGCAGCACAACGGCATCAAGAAGGACGACAGACCAGGTGAATGTTTACCCGCAGTTACCTGGCAACCAACGCATCTCATGGCCGCACTGTGGGTTCAGGCCTCACAGAACCCGCCATCTGCAGCTTGTTAAAACCATGGTTAGATCTGCGTTTTTAAAGAATCCTGCCAGTTACGACTCAAACGTCTGTTTCTCCTTCCCATCAGCACCGAGTGACAAAGATGTAAAGAAAGCTCAGGCTCTGAAAGAGGAAGGCAACGCTCTGGTGAAGAAAGGAGAATTTCAGAAGGCCGTAGAGAAGTACACGCAGAGTCTAAAACACAACGGCAGCGAGGTGACGACCTTCACCAACCGGTGAGCCTCTGCTTCACATTCAGTTCAGGTTTATGCTTTAACGACAAGACTAAGCAAAGATGCGTCTCCGCTGTGTCTGTGATCAGGGCGCTGTGCTTCCTGTCGCTGAAGCAGTACAGAGACGCCATCAGAGACTGCTCCGACGCCCTCAGGATGGACGGCAGCAACGTCAAGGCGCTCTACAGGAGGGCGCAGGCTCACAAGGAGCTCAAGGTGAGCTCTCCGTCCGTTTCTGACCATCAGTCTGTGGCTGCATGTCCTCACACATCCAGATGTTTACAGCTGCTGTAGAATATTTAGCAAGTCTTGGAACAGCTCTCAAAAGTTAAGTTCTCTAAAGTAGTAATACTCTGAAAAGTATTCGTTTTTTTTCTCGTGATGAAGTAAGATAGACTTTATTGATCTCACAGTGGAGAAATTCACTCGTCACAATCGGTTCACTAGTCAAAAGAAGGTGCCAAGAGGAGGAAAAGGTGCATGGGATATAAACACTAATTACAGCTCGTCCACATTTTCTATTATTATTTAACATTTTTGGAGCGCCCCTAGAAAATTTCTGAATAATAACTCAGATAATCATAAAGCCTCATTAATCCTCAACATTCTAATGATAATAATGATCTAATATTTAATAATAAGTGCTAAATAGTTGAAATGGAGACAGCATTAAGCTGTGACTTTGATAATAGTAGCTTTTCTCTCCAGCTGTGCAAACCATTGCAAGCTAGTGGTTATCGGCAGAGCTGGAGGGGGTTCAGTCTTAGAACGCAGGACTTTCCTTCAAGACTGACAGTGATTGTTTTCTACTTTGGCTACTTTAGATCACCAATTAAATGTAAAATAATAGAAAATATAGGGAATATTATGTTGAGACTTTTATCCTTAAAGGAATAGTACACCAAAAACATGATTAGCCTTCAGTTTCTACTCACCCCCATGCTGAACAACACTCTGGAGTACTTTTTTGATATCTCAAATGCATCTGGAGATCTGGGAGGCTTCTTGCTGTCTGTCCGTCCGTAAAAATTCAAAAAATATCCACTGGACTTGGTTTTCAAGATTTGAAGACGTTTCGCCACCTCTCCAGGAAGCTTTCTCAATTCAAATGTCTGGATCCGCCGTGAGTTTGAGTCTTATATAGACAACGCCTTGTATCGCTTGGAAAGATGCAATGGTAACCGATGAATGGGTCGTTAGTTCCATCGTTAGCCTGTAATATCTGAAACTGTCTATGATTCTAGGGGTCGGTCGTTAAAGGGGGGATTGCCATTAAGGGGGGGGATTGTCTCCTGTAATACCTGAAACCTGTCTATGATTGTTAAGGGTTGGTCGTTAAGGAGGTGTTGTTCACCGGCTGGAGCGGGTAAGTCCCTCGTTCCTCTGTGATGGGGTGGGGGGTTTGGTGATATCTGGAAGGGATCATGTCTATGATTGAATTGTATGTTTTTGGAAGCTGGAATCTCAGTCCACCACCTCTGTTTAAAGTTGGGTTTTTCTCTCTTAACATAGATGGCTTCCTTCACGCCCCTCTCAAACCACCTATTTTCTTTATCCAGAATATGGACATTCTGGTCCTCTAAAGAATGTCCTTTGTCCACAAGGTGTACAGGTGCTGGTCATAAAATAAGAATATCATGAAAAAGTAGATTGATTTCAGTAATTCCATTTAAAAAGTGAAACTTGTATATTATATTCATACATTACATACAAACTCATATATTTCAGATGTTTATTTTGTTTAATTTTGATGATTACAAATGACAACAAATGAAAATCTCAAATTCATCATATCAGAAAATTAGAATATTGTGAAAAGGTTCAAAATTGATGGCCCCTGGTACCACACTCTAATCAGCTAATTAACTCAAACCACCTGCAAAAGCCTTTAAATGGTCTTTCAGTCTAGTTCTATAGGCTACACAATCATGGGGAAGACTGCTGACTTGACAGTTGTCCAAAAGACGACCATCGACACCTTGCACAAGGAGGGCAAGACACAAAAGGTCATCGCTAAAGAGGCTGGCTGTTCACAGAGCTCAGTGTCCAAGCACATTAATAGAGAGGCGAAGGGAAGGAAAAGATGTGGTCGAAAAAAGTGTACAAGCAAGAGAGATAACCGCACCCTGGAGAGGATTGTGAAACAAAACCCATTCAAAAATGTGGGGGAGATTCACAAAGAGTGGACTGCAGCTGGAGTGAGTGCTTCAAGAACCACCACACACAGACGTATGAAAGACATGGGTTTCTGCTGTCGCATTCCTTGTGTCAAGCCACTCTTGAACCACAGACAGCGTCAGAAGCGTCTTGCCTGGGCTAAAGAGAAACAGGACTGGACTGCTGGTGAGTGGTCCAAAGTCATGTTCTCTGATGAAAGTAAATTTTGCATTTCCTTTGGAAATCAAGGTCCCAGAGTCTGGAGGAAAAGAAGAGAGGCACTTCATCCACGTTGCTTGAAGTCCAGTGTAAAGTTTCCACAGTCAGTGATGGTTTGGGGTGCCATGTCATCTGCTGGTGTTGGTCCATTGTGTTTTCTGAGGTCCAGGGTCAACGCAGCCACATACCAGGAAGTTTTAGAGCACTTCATGCTTCCTGCAGCTGACCAACTTTTTGGAGATGCAGATTTCATTTTCCAACAGGACTTGGCACCTGCACACAGTGCCAAAGCTACCAGTACCTGGTTGAAGGACCATGGTATCCCTGTTCTTAATTGGCCAGCAAACTCTCCTGACCTTAACCCCATAGAAAATCTATGGGGTATTGTGAAGAAGAAGATGCAATACACCAGACCCAACAATTCAGAAGAGCTAAAAGCCACTATTAGAGCAACCTGGGCTATCATAACACCTGAGCAGTGCCACAGACTGATCGACTCCATGCCACGCCGCATTGCTGCAGTAATACAGGCCAAAGGAGGCCCAACTAAATACTGAGTGCTGTACATGCTCATACTTTTCATGTTCATACTTTTCAGTTGGCCAACATTTCTATAAATCCTTTGTTTTTATTGGTCTTCAGTAATATTCTAATTTTCTGATATGATGAATTTGAGATTTTCATTTGTTGTCATTTGTAATCATCAAAATTAAACAAAATAAACATCTGAAATATATGAGTTTGTATGTAATGTATGAATATAATATACAAGTTTCACTTTTTAAATGGAATTACTGAAATCAATCTACTTTTTCATGATATTCTAATTTTATGACCAGCACCTGTAGGTGTACTGCGGAGTCTTGTCCAGAGGTGGCCGCTCTTCTGTGTTGGGCCATGCGTCTGTGGAGAGGTTGTTTGGTTTCTCCAATATAAAGATCAGAGCATTCCTCGCTGCACTGAACAGCATATACCACTCCGCTCATATTTGGTCTGGGGGTTTTATCTTTCGGATGCACTAGCCTCTGTTTAAGGGTTTGGTTTGGCTTGAAATGTACTGGGATCTTGTGTTTGGAGAAAATCCTCTTGAGCTTTTCAGACACTCCAGCAACATAAGGGATTGTGATGTTTTTGCGTTTAATTTTCCCATCGCTGTCTTCTGTTGCGTGTCTTTTGGATTTCCTTGCTGATTTGATAAAAGCCCAGTTTGGATATCCACAGTTTTGGAGAGCATCTTTGATGTGTTTCTGTTCTTTTTGCTTCCCATCTGTTTTAGTGGGGACATGTTCTGCCCGGTGTTGTAAGGTTCTGATGATTGAGAGTTTGTGTTCCAGTGAGTGGTGGGAGTCAAAAAGAAGATACTGGTCTGTGTGAGTAGGTTTCCTATACACTTCAATGTTTAGGCTTTCATCTCCTTCCATGCTCACCAGGCAGTCCAGAAAGGGTAGTTTGTTGTCCTTGGCATCCTCTCTGGTGAATTTGATGTTATGGTCAACAGAGTTGATGTGTTTGGTGAAAGCTTCAAACTCACTGCGGATCCAGACATTTGAATTGAGAAAGCTTCCTGGAGAGGTGGCGAAACGACTTCAAATCTTGAAAACCAAGTCCAGTGGATATTTTTTGAATTTTTACGGAATGACTATGACCTGGATGACTGAGAACCTTCATCAGCTTCTTGCTGTCTGCTGACATTCAAATAATGGAGGTCTATGGCGCCCGAGGCAGAAAGGTCCATAAAAGTCCACAAAAAACGTGTCAATATTCCTCCATACTGCTCGTCCAATGTATTCCAAGTGTCCTGAGTGGGTAGCGTCCATAATTTACTCGAAACAAAGTCATTTAGAATGTTTTTAGAGCATAAACAGTAGTGTATAGGATTTCCTCAAAGCGTGCGCCTGCGAGTTCACGACTCTACGGAAACCGCGGCAGACCAAACCAGATGAAAGTGCGCATTCAGCGTCTGCTCTGCCGATAATGCAAGCGTAGAACAAGAAATGTGCTGTTTACCTGTGCAAAGAAAGAAACAACGAAAGAAAAATGTCTGAGGACTTCAGTGTTGAGGAAGAGCATGAGTTCTTTGCCGAGCTGAATGCGCACTTTCATCTGGTTTGGTCTGCCGCGGTTTCCGTAGACTCGTGAACGCGCTTTCAGGAAATCCTGTACACTACTGTTTATGCTCTAAAAACATTCTAAATGACTTCGTTTCGAGTAAATTATGGACGCTACCCACTCAGGACACTTGGAATACATTGGACGAGCAGTATGGAGGAATATTGACACGTTTTTTGTGGACTTTTATGGACCTTTCTGCCTCGGGCGCCATAGACCTCCATTATTTGAATGTCAGCAGACAGCAAGAAGCGTTCCAGATCTCCAGATGCATTTGAGATATCAAAAAAGTACTCCAGAGTGTTGTTCAGCATGGGGGTGAGTAGAAAATGAAGGCTAATCATGTTTTGGGTGTACTGTTCCTTTAATATTGTGCACAGCAAACAACCTCAAAATATTATTCTCATTGTTTTTTTTATTGATTTCTTGTATTTTTTTAGTAATGAAAATATTTCTGTTGAATTTTAGAGTCTTTGTTTTTATCCTTGTGGTATCGAAAAGGGTATCGAGTATCGAATACTTTATTTAGTATCGGTATCGAGTCGAAAAGTTTAGTATCCTTACAACCCTAATGACGGCAGAGCTGAAGGGGGGCACCATGTCTGAGCAGTTAACATGCTCGGTGTCCTGAACACAGGAGCAGGCTTAGAACGCAGTACTTTGCTTCAAGACATTGTTTTCTACTTTTGTCTACTTTAAAACGCCAATGAAATGTAAAATAATAGCAAATATAGGTAATATGTTGAAATTCAAAAAGAGATTTGATCCTTAACAAACAGGTGCTATAGAGTTTGTCCGACTGGAGTTGCCATATGTTGTCATTAAAAGTGGTGGGGCCCGAGCAGATCTGTTAGCTTCACCAGCTTTAAAAACCTGTTTCACTGATTTCTATTTTATTTAGCTTCATATATAAATGGCACAATAAAGCAGCGACTGCAGATGGTGTACGGAGGAAAAAAATACAGAATAAATAAGAAAAAAAGAGGGAAAATAAATACAGAAAATATTATTATGGACACTTAATATATATACAGATCCATAGGGTTACATTTAACTTGTAAATTACATATTATGTTTGAACTGCTTTTTAGTTTCCAGGTTCGTTTATTGGGCTGTTTGGTTGAAGTTCTTTTTCCCTCTGAATCAAATCAGGTCTTCAATCAAATCATTAGCTGTCCAATCACAGCTGACTGGCTGCAGGGTGGAGCGTTTTCTAGGATTCAGATCAATCCTGAAAGCTAGCCTGCCTCAGCGCATGTTGAAACGGTGACCAGCCTGGCTAAGAATGAGTCCAGCTTATTTTAAAGTCAGGGTTAAACCTGAAGTTATCTGGCTAACCCAGGAATCCTGCTTCCTGGTTCAGGCCTCTGATATTTCTCTCCAGGATGGAGTCACAGCCAAACAGGAACAGACCAGATGAAGCTACTATGAGAAAAAGCAGAGAGAGCAGAACGTTAGAGATTGAACTAACAGATTCTGCAGAGTGGGAGAATAGAGATAGAATGAAATAGGGGTCCCTATGTCCTCCAGCAGTCTAAGCCTATAGCAGCATAACCCAGAGCTAAGGACCAGAAACTCATCTCAGCCTTCTTCAGCTTTTTCCTAAAGATTGTGTTGTCATCCCTACAGGACATCAAGGCCTGCGTTGACGATCTGAACAGCCTCCTGAAGGTGGAACCAAAGAACACGGCTGCTCTGAAGCTGCTGCAGGAGGTGCAGAAGAAGTAAACGTGCATGGATAACTCTGCAACCAGCCAGTGAGACGATCCATCCCCTCCAACCCCACGTCTGATCTGTTCACTCCTTACTGGGCCAACACAAAACGCAGCAAGAGGTTCTGGAGACTCTTCATGGATGAAGAGGTGTTCATAGTTTGGTGACGGAATGGTTGTGTTACCTCGGTTCAGTGTTAATGTTTGTTTTTTACGCTCCAGTAAATTACCGTCGCATCTTTTCAGAAAAAAAAAAAAGTTTTATTCTCACTTCTGGCCATAAAGCTCAGATTTACTGGATTAGAGGATTGATTGGATCCAAATTAACGGCAGACGAACGTCAAGCATCTTTTTATTTAGCCGCTATTTTTTTTCACCTAAATGAATTTCCACAACCAATAAAATAATCTGCTCAGTTCGGTCCGGAGAGAAATTTGTTCCACTATCATTAAAAGCAAATAAAAAATGGAACTTAAAAATGTTCTGAGAGTAATTTGTTTATGAAAAAATGTTAGGAAGTATTTTTAAAGATAGATGTTTTTCTTTAAGATTTTTTTCCTCCCTTTCAATTTTTTTCAGAATTTGAACTAAACTTTTCCAGATTTCTCCCTATGAAGAGAACCAATAGAAATACTGTTGCTAAGGTCCAGGCAGAGCAGACTCATTTCTATTGGTCCGCTCTCAGACCACCCAGAACTGTGAAAACGGTGAAATTCATTAAAAGGTTCTCTTCCCAATAATTTTAAAATGTGAGGAAATGGCAAACTAAAAAAGTTGATCACTTTCACAACCTTTGATCTGAAACGCACTCGTTTTAAATTCCTTTTTTTTTTTTACTTATTTGCTTTTAATAATTTTGGAACGAGTTTCTCTCCGTGGTTCTGGTACCAAACTACACTACTCTGGGTTCTTCAGTGACCCAGATGGACCCAAACTCATGAGGAGCATCAGACCAGTTTGGGTTCAGAGAACTGAAGAATCCGTAAATACCCGCCCAGATTGGGGAACGTTTCCAACCAGTCTGCCGCCACGTCGCCGCCATCTTGAACACTGTTTGTTTACATTAGAGACTATGCAGTTCAGGATACAGCAAACTATTAAACACCTCAATAATTATACGCCAGTGAAGAGTCAGAGGTCAAATTCATAAACAATTTCTCCAAATAAATGGCTTTAAATGGGAAATAAAGGATCGGAATCAAAATATTTCAAAGCAACCAAAGCTTCAACCTCTTTAAACAGAATTTTCCCCAAATCCCAAAGACTGGAGAAACGAGCGGAGAGGATCGTTTTCACTTAGAAATTATCATTCATATTTTTCACTCATCAGTTTCTGTGTTTTGAGGAGGAAGCTGATCCTCTGACATTAAAGTTTGTTTGATTGTTTTCATGTAATAAAACAGGGAACCTTGTTCTAAACGTCCCTATTTGCCAGATTAGTTTCCTACTGGGTCGGTTCTTTGCTCCTTTGAAGGACTCGTTCTGTAGCCGTGACTGAACCGCCTCCTTCAGAGCCCAGCTCCTGTTGGACGAGTCCTGAGAAGGAACACAAAGACGCTGCTTTAACTAGCTGGCAGCTAGCTATCAGTAGCTACCTGCATCAGCTTCAATAAATCACAAACATGCTAACACAGTTAGCTCTGAATCCGGCCATGGCGGCCTGAAACTGGGCCTCCTTTGTGGATAACAAGCAGCTTAGCACCACTATGCTACTTCCTGTCACCTGACTATAGCCTCCCTTACACAGGCAGGGGAGGAGCGTACTGGTAAGACGCGGCTGAGCCATTAAAGCAATTTCTTTTACAAGGAAGCGCTGTTCTGTTTCTTCTTTTTTCCTTTTTCTATTTTGTTATTTAGAAAATTTCAAATGTTTCTGATATATAGCAATTTGTCTCCATCCTGCCCAAAGTGCCTGCCTGGTTTTTCATCTGCTGCTTTGGATTAGTGACTGCAAAATAAAAATCGTTTTAAAAAAGGAACCTTTAAATGTTTGGATTTTTTTTATGTTAGTTTTGTGACATTAAAATTCATCACATTATGTGTTTTAAAGGTACACTATGCAACCGGTGTTGATTTTCCAGCGAGGCTCCCCCCAGAGGGCGAAAGTAAAAGTGCACTGTCGTAAATATGCTCAGCTGTTCTCCTGGTTTCTCCATCAAGCCAGGCGCGGTTGTTTTGAGCTTAGCAGACAGGCGAACGCAACGAATGACTAAGCATCTGACGCGCCGCAAACGCGCTGCTGCTTGAGATGGAAATTTTTAATTTTTGCTGCTCGACGCGCCGCGTCAACCAATCAGAGAAGCTGATCTGGGAGCTGGCAGGGAGAGAGACACAGCGCTGATGATCAGAGCGCTATGATCACTCCTCTGAAACAGTTTATTGACGCCTAAATTAACTTAAAATGTAGAAATCTGCCGCCAGAATATGTTCGCTTTTATTATTCTGCTGCCTGCAGTTTGGATTATTTAGATGAAAAACACCTACCAGCCGCCGCGGTGAACCGCGAGGAGGCGACCCGGCCAGAGGCTGCTGATGAAGGGATCCCTACTGTCGGCGTCCCGCTGGTATGTGGGGGTCTGAGCGGCTCCGACAGAAAAAATATTGAAGGCAGGATGATAATCTGAATGAACTGACTGCACTGATTACGTTTTCAGGTGTATTTTCTCACTTAAACACATATTAAAACTACTTTATTCCCACTGATCACAGCAAATATAGCTGCAAGGCAGAGAAAGGATAGTGAAGCTCCGCCCAACGCGCGTCAGACACACTTTTGCACCGCGCAGCCAGAGCAGCAAAGCTGCTTCAGCCGCGCGTCAGAACTAACTGGTACAAGCAGCAAAAATGAAGAAGCAGACGCGATTTTGCTGCGTCTGATGTGAACGTAGCATAACTGCACAAAGATCGCCACTGTGCTAGCAACGAGAATGCTTTTAACTGGGGGGTGTAGCAGTTCTCGCTGTAAAGCAAGACCGACTCTCGCGAGACTTCTGAGCCTGTGGGTGCGGGCCGAGGGCTCCTGCAATTGCAAGTGCGGTATTTCCCCCACAGACCACCAGGGCGGCCGAGAATACACCTGAAATGACTCATTTAATCATCCAAAACGTTATGGAACACATTAATTAACTGAAAAATGTTGCATAGTGGGCCTTTAAAGGAAAAGTCTGGTCAGCAAGAAATAATCAATGGATCCATATATTTAAAACTAATAACATTTGCTGTTATTTAATGAATTTAGTGTTAATCAGTAAAAAAATAATTTAGCATCTGCAGTCAACAACAATTATTGAAGATTTCCAGAGGACTTCACCATTAAAATTCACCAGAGCTATAGTGAAACTGAAAAAAAGAGTTATTCCACCTTTCTGATTCCTGATCCTCCACGGACGGGTTGGTCGTTGGATCGCCAACTTGAAGAGGGAGGATTTGCAATCGAACTTCTGGCCAGAGAAAAAACCCGTAATATGTAGCCAACATTTGGAAGAAGAATGTTTTCAAGAAGACTTGGATAATAGCGCGTTGTGACAAACACCAGATACAGCACTGGGACTTGATCAACAGCCGATACCGCACCGTGACGTCACTAACCAGTAGGTGGCAGTAGTGTTGGATTTCTCCAGTAAAACACATTAAAATGAAAGTTACTCTTAATGAAAAACACTTTTTTTTTTTTTTTTTAACAGCGTGTCATAATTTAATATTTAAAGTACTGTCAGAAGTTTGAATTCTGAATATGTCCGGACTTTTCCTTTAAATGAGGTTTGGAGCAAAATCTGCCTTCGCTGAGAAAAACAGGTGAGTCTGACTCTAAAGATGCCTGTTTGCTGTCAAATAATATTAATAAATTATAATATTATTAAAAAGTTTTAGATTTTTAATCTTTTTTTAAAGATAGAAGAATCTATATTTACACTGTAAAAAGTTAACTAGAAGTAGACTTTTTAAAAATAAGTTTATTTCAGCAGCTCGGTCAATAATTGGCCAATGGGATCAGTTTCCTGAATATATCCGAAAAGATCAGCCTGCATCTCAATTAGAGGAACTCTGCTTCTGTTCACAGGTTCTTTAACCCGTTGGTTAAAAAAAATTAAATAAAAATCCAGGCTTATTAAATAAAACTATGTGAGAAGTAATAAATGTGATGTCAGAAATGGTCAGAACTTGGTGCTGCATCAGGACATCCCTGCTTAAAATATAGGCTCTGTTCGAAAACCTAGGACGCATCCTTAGAAGACCGGATTCGAAGGCCGATTACGTCATAGCGCGGCGCCGAGGTATGGTCGGATTCCAAGAGTCCTCGTTATGCGGCCTTAAAATGCGTCCTTCTTTTAGCCCGATTTGAAGGACGGGTGTCGATGTATCCTCGGTATTCTTGGATATCCCAGGATTCATTGCGAGACCAAGCAAGCTGTGATCAGAGGAAAGGTTACTTGGCGCCGAACAGTGGTGAAAATTGGAAGTTCAGTTTAATATAATCCAGTCTGTGAATAGTTCCGTCTGGAATGAATGAAAATAGTTGTTTTAATGGTTATAGAGTCAGATATGTGGCGGTAATGTTTGGTTTATCTAAAGGTTTTAATCTGTTACTGTATAAATGGGTTTGGCTGTAATTTAAGGACAGATTCTAATATATTTGCAGGGTGGGAACTATAAATCTGATAGGATTTTTATCTTTTTATTGCTGTTTTGCACAATATGCTTAACTTCGTATTTTTTGTTGTTGAATATTAGAGATTTTGCAGATATATTTTTTATAAATACATTGTTTAGATTTACTTATATCTTTCTACCCCTTTTATAGAATAGAATAGAAAATCCCTTTATTTTCCCACAATGGGAAAATTTACAGCAGCAGAAAGATTATTGAAAATGGTCACACAAATGTGGACCGTAGAAAAATGTATAAGAATAACATAATAGGAAAGAGTTAAAATATAAACAATAAAATACTGTAAAGTGTTTTAACAATATAAAACTGGGGAATAAATAACCAATATGCAGCTATGGACATTTTTACAGTAATGGATATTTGAAAATAGCAGCAACATCAGAGATGTGCAAAATGACAGCAGCATGTTATTTAACTGACTAAGGTTTCTATCATTACATTTGATTTTATTTGTTCCTGCTCCCGGTGGTTGGAACCTTTATTCCACTCTGGATTCTTGTGAGTGTAGTCTTTGTTCACTTCACAATAAAAAAGAAATAAATAAACAGTTTTGAAAACTTCTGTATTCATTCTTTTCCTGCTTTGTGTG